ACAAGCCAGCATCCCAGAAGACGAGGGCAATCATCCTTAGACGCCACAAATGATCGTCTTGAAAAAAGCCAAATTACAAGCGCTGAGAAAACAGCGAGCTACGTCCTCAATTAGCAAACACTATACACCGGCAGATAGTAGAACACCTCTTCTAGCACTGAGGACATGTCCCCCATCATCCAATTTGGGTTTTCTTGAAATAAACAATTTTGAATATTTCTACTCGACCATTCTGAAATACATCCAAACTATTACCTGCGCAGGAAAGCTCGCCCCTCCGCGGCGTCTAGTCAGCAACTTCTACTCCAACACCACTCCCAACGCTGCAGAACAAAGTGTATTGTTGACTCTGACAAGGAAAAGCAGCGGTGATCACTTGTCACTGCAAACGACAAGCTTCTCCTTGCGCCACCAACATTTTTCGGTGCAACAGTTGATGCAAAAGTGACTGAATGTTTGCGTGTGGTTTTTGGATTTTACTGCAAGAGGAATGATGAAATCTTTTCTGCGCAGGTATGAGTTTGGATGTATTTCAGAATGGTCGAGTGGAAAAGTTCAAAATTGTATATTTCAAGAAAACCCCAAAAGGATGATGGGGACATGTCCTCAATGCTAGAAGAGGTGTTTTACTATCTGCCGCTGTATAGTGTTTGCTAATTGAGGACGTAGCGCGCTGTTTTCTCAGCGCTTATAATTTGGCTATTTTCAAGACGATCATTTGTGGCGTCAAGGGATTATTGCCCTCGTCCTCTGGGATGCTGGCGTGGCTAAGTGGTGCTGCCCCAAGAAATCTTCTAAGGTGAGGGGGATTATTGCCCTCGTCCTCTGGGATGCTGGCGTGGCTAAGTGGTGCTGCCCCAAGAAATCTTCTAAGGTGAGGTAATGTTGGCTGGATGGAGTTTTGTTCGTAGCTTGTTCTTGTACGCTGTGCCGTGGCTCGTTTGTAGACCCATAAATCGTGGCAATATTGGGCCAATATTGTTGGGTATACAAATTTCATGTTTCGCTTCAAAAGATTTTGCGGACTTTGGGATTTCAATCTACACCCCAACGCAAACCTACATGTACCTGCAAAATTTGAGCGAAATCTGAGAGATCGACTTGCACATAATGTTCTGGTTTTCTCAGACATGCTCCCTTACAAATAAATCCACGATTACGGTTTATTTATATCTTGCTTATTGTTGCCTCATGATTTCGAAAGCATGACACTTTAAGTAGAGACTAAAAGGCCTTGATTTCTTTTGTTATTCTGTGTATTTTGCTTATTATTTCAATTTGTTAGGATTGGGAAAATTTCAAATTTCCAAATAAGTTCTCTCACAATTAATCACTTTCTTTTACCTCTAGTAGTACGTTCCACAGAACAGTCTACCGTCTTTCTGACATTGCTACTCGAACTTGGCAATAGAACCAGCTTTTCGTATGTGCAGTTACATTAAGCCATGGTGTTTTTATCGTATTTTTGTGAATTCTTCCCAGAAGCAAATGCTGGTTTTTATACATTCGTGTAATTACTCAGCGGTATTTGCAATAATAATAATAATAATAATAATAATAGTGCGTTCCAGGAAATTGACCGTGGTTGGTCCCCCTTGGAGAGAGAAAAGACCAAAGTGCCACCAGTATGTGTGGCACGTGTTGTGAGTGAAAAACTTGTAAGCGCCTTCTAGGTGCAGCCTGGTCCTATAGCTCAGTGATACGAGCATTGCTCATGACAAGCAAGGCCCAGGGCTGGAGTCCTGGTGGGTCTGGCCTTTTTGTCCTCTTTTCAGGCAGTCCACCTCCCGGACTGATCCTATCATTATTATTTCAATGTGCATGTATTTATTATTGCAGCGATGCAGAACAGGAACGCGAAGAAAGCTAAGCACATCATGATTGCAGGCCTCCATCACCACAAGCCACATTTCTACAAGCATCACAGACCGTCAGCCACCGTCCACGTTCGTGTTGAAGGTACGTGAACCCTGACTATTCTCTCGCCCCCACCCCCCCCCCCCCAGCCCATGCAACTTGGATTAGTCGCTTTCAATCTATATCAATGCAGATTACTAGCAGTGCATTGGCATTAGTAAATAACATAGCTGTATCATTTTGATACAATCCTCACTGATGAAACGTTGAAGTGTACTTGGTTTAGATACTATGACCTAGTGTTGGATTTGGGTGAGGTTTACACACTATGTTCAGTAGAATGGTGTGCAAGCACAACTCTAGCACTTCCCCGACAAGTCATAGTATGCCCCCTTGGCCCGCACAGTCCATGTCGATTCCGAGACCGAAATGGTCGGAGGAGTGCACTGCGCCTGACCAGCACAGCTCTTGTAGCACCTACTACTCCTTTGTTGTCTTTGTCTCTTTTATTACCCCTATTACTTTGTAGGGATGTGCACATAGTATATAAAATAAAATAAAGTAAAATAAATAAAAAAAAGTACATAAACTTCGTGCTTGTCGTGTTTTGGCATTGATCGAATCCAGATTCTCTACAGGAACATAAACCCGGATAGAAATAGTCGAACCTCCAGGTGATGGGGAGGATGAACCCATGACCGAAAAAGGCGTTCTGGGGTGAGCGGTCTCCACGTCATTACAGAGACAGTCAGGTGAAACCATAAAAGGAAGATTTTCATAAAACAGCATGTGCGGCAATAGGTATACTTGACCAGTTCCATACAATCCGTGGGTGTTTGGTACAACAATGCCAATTCAACTATTATGATGTGGTGTAACTTGTATGCTGCAGGCAAGTAAAGGAGCGTCACCGCTAGTCGCCACTCCTCAAAATGACTTCACAAATCTATGGCTGCATAGCTTGGATTTTTCTGTGAAGCGATAAGCCTGGACATCATCCGTAGGCTTATTACGAGCGTTACACATTTATCATCTTTTGCCCTTCTTAACACTGTCCGTTTGGCTACATCTCTGCATGTGCATTTCTCTGTCATCACTGTTTCAGTTCCTTTTTTCTCTACTTTTCACCATTTCCCGGACACATACCTCTAGAACTATACACAGTTTGAACTGGATGTATGTTGTGTGGATACGCAGTAGTCCGCATCTGCTACTTTCTGTATCTCCCTGTGGAAGGTACAATACCATAGGTGAAGTCTTCGTAGTGTACCTTGGGCAATCGCTGTACTCAAAAGGCATGAGAAAAGCTGCCATGATTGGAGGGACCTTACTTGCAGCGTTTGCAATGCCTCGCAAGCATAGCAAGATCGGGAAAATTGTGTTTTAGAATATATTACTCCGGGAGCTGAGCATAAAACAAGACGCTAGATTGAAAAGAGAAAATCAACAATCTGTTCTCAACGCAGTTTGAACATAAAATGACCAGCTACATGTACAGTGACTGGATGACCAGTCCAGGTAGCAGTCATTAAACAACAAAAATCCCTGTTGAAAGTAGTGCATCTAGTGCGGATAGATGCACTACTACGCTACGTTACACCTGGCCACCCTTCCCATAACTTTCCTCAACAAAGAAATTTGCCCTTGAGAAATTTCCATTTTCACAAGGCAACTTCACGTCCGTGGTATGCAGGGTTGTGCGAACGATACAAATTCACATCATTTGAGTATGATCATTTTACCTGCTTCACATTTTTGAGTACAGCACTGAATAGTATTATGAAACGTGTATCAAGACAATAGTAATGGCAGGTGCGGATAAGTACTGGACATACGCGGAACAAATAAACGGCGCAGAGAACAAGTGGAAATGTGACTTACCAGTACTGGTAGTACTTCGAGTACTTTTAGTAATCTGTGGCTTGCGTATCTGCAGTCGCTGCACGCACAGTGCACCGCTCTCGCCGAAATGTTCTGCATTGCCATTGGGCACAATGACTTGAGCTGCTCCGCTACAATATCACTTACTTTGAGGAGACAGATTCCGGTTATCAAAGCTGAACCCGCTAATACTAAGGCAACACGGCCCATTCCTTTATTCACATCCATACTCCGCTTCACTCGCGATCCACGAACATTTCACTAGCATAAAATATGCTCTCTACTAGTGTTGTCGACAGAATCATGGGTACCAGGTCTACAGTGCATGTACAGTGTGGGTCCAGTTTTTTTGTTCTGCCACCACTTCTTGTGCAAATGTTATGGATGAGAGCGCGTGCAAACTAGTTTGCTCCCGAGCTAAGTAGCCATGTGAATCTACCTTGGAAACAGATCTAAACTCGCAAACCTACAGTCTACACATGCCGCGGAGAGGCGTGAAAGGCGTGCTGGCCTACTTTATACTGGGAACTGTTCACTGGATGATCCATGAAGGCAGTGTACTGTTACTGTTAGACTACATGTACATGTATGTCGTGAATTCTTGCTGCAGCGTGTTGTCACCTCTACGTCCTGCAACTAATTACTTGTACTCACCCAGGATAGGAGCACCAGACACTAAGGGTGCGTTGGAATTTTCTTCATCAATTTTTCGAACAAATTCCTTTTAAAAAGGAGATCAGTAGCAGTGTCCCAAGAGAACGGTTTCTCTCATTTGTAGAGTTTTCAGTGGAATTGTCACAGCAATGATGATTTCCGCTCCGATCGACCATCAATTCCAAACTATTCGGACCTAATCCACCACTCCCATCGAATCAGGTTGGCGAGTTTCGAGGAGACTTCCGTTTTCTGAAGAGGCCAATAAGCCACTTCTTCAGAAAAACGAAACTCCCCGAAAAGTCAAAGAGTGACAATTCGAACGTGCCCTCACAGTTACAAAACAACGTAGTGGCGCTTTTCAACTGAGAAAACACTCGTTCATAGGTACATCAGAATATATAGGCACAGCCATTGTGGCGAAAATACTGGGAACGGGGTTTTGCAGTTTTTTGGGGCTGAATTTATTGTAATACCGACAAAATAATAAGTTGAATCGGGCAACCATGACCTTATAGGATCTAATCCGTGTAAATGTACATGTACATATATGTGCGTAGCGGTAAGCGGAGAATGTATGAAATCATTGTGATACTGATCGCTGTTGTGCTGGTCCTGTTTATTCCTCTTCATGGTGACTGGACATGTAATCTGTTATACATACACACACACACCCACGAACATACACACGCACACACACACACGTGTACACAGGTATACATACGTACATAAATACGTACCCGCAAACACACACACACACACACACACACACACACACACACACACAAAGGAGAGAGAAAAAGACAGAGACACTCTTAGGAATACGGAAACAGGCAAATGCGTCTAGCACAATGACGTAGTAAATGATTGTGTGGACAACTACAAATGCAAGACATGCTGTTGCTGTTGCTACTGTTATTGTTGCCATTCTAGTCGTTGTCTTTGTCGATATTCATTTTCTTATTTTCTGCTCTCAATTCGAATCCAGAACCCTCATGAATAGAACTCTGCACCTTACATGCATAGCTGTGGTATGTGTACCGTTTGTCCAAAGTCCAATGACTGCTATACCAACAAGCAGGGTTGTCAAATCACTACTCTAACTAAAGTATGTTCTATCCAGAGAGATTACGTTATACTGAAGTGGCACTGTCCATAAACAGTCTATGGATCTACAGTAACATCGGGCTACGAAGAACATTCAGGCTAGAACGTCACCAGCGCAAATTGACGCAACACTCGGGACGCAAAGATTTGGAACACCAGCGGGTGTTTGTTTATGTGACATTGCATGCACAGTGCGTGCAGAGTCATCATGCACGAGCACAGGATTCGGGAAATGCACAAGTACAGACTAATACCGGAGATGCTGGGAAAGAAGAGCATCACCAGCCGGAAGACCTAATGTTCTTGGGCGGCCGACGTTACTGTTTTAAACAAGTTATACATGATCGAGATTATCTTGTCGAAGCTGGCAAATCGCCTCACTTTTCACAGCTTTGACTGCGTCATTGTAGCGATCTAAGGCTGAGTGATACTTGTCCATTGCCTCGCTAAACAAGGAAACCTGATCGTTGTTCTTCGCCTCGTTACCTTCGCCCTTCGAGAGTGCTCCAGCATTGTTGTTGTCGTTCACATTGTCCACGTTAAAGACAGCGTCGAAAATGGAGTCACTCGCAGCTTCGTCAGTGACCTCGCGCTCGCTGTTTTCCTCGTTCAACACCGACTCTGAAATGAAACATCACGCGCACATCGACATCACACCAATAAGATGCTGTATTCAGCGGGGATCGACAATAATTTTGTACTTCTCACACCACAATAGGGTCACCGTAAAAACAATACAGGGATTCAGTAGTACATTGAAGTATGAATCGGACCACAACTGGGTATTAAGCTTATTCACACTACTTACCTACAATGATGATCCCCGGCCTTTGAGCATTGTGTATCGTAAATAAAGTTCATATGTCCCTGTCACGAACAGATCCGCGACGTTGCTCCCTGAACTCTGTAGTATCTAGTGTAATTATCATTGCAGTGTAGTCATTGCAGGGGTTCCATAGAACATTGCATCATTTCGAGTAAACGCTGATTTTTGGTCGACGAATGTCCCCACAAGAGGCTCGCTAACAGACTGCTCCATGACGGATAAGGACTGCGGCATTGCGAGCATGGTGAAACCTTCGATTATACGTTAGAATGCGTAGGATTTCCAATATTGACTTTTGAAAATTCAGCAGTGCACCTATGATATCTGTGCAATTACACATTACCTGTATTTGTATCGTCCGATAATCGGTTGAGTTCTGACAATGCCTCCTTCTCGTTGGCAGCCTCCTCACCAGTCAATGCCGCCTTTTCCTGGAAGGCACCATAGAACATTGACCCCTCACTCTCTCGCTTTTCTTCCTCCTCTTCATCGTTAGTGAACAGATCTTGGACGTCACTGACCTCCACCTGTGAACCATATCCAGTCAACACTGGAGCAGTGTGAGGAAAGGGCACAAATGATGAGCATATGGAAATTGCTGATTTTATAGTCGTATCACAGTAATTAACAATTTTCGAAGCTTTTTTTCCAAATGCGGAGTCCTCTTGCAAATATATAAATTACATAGTACAAGGAGGACAACTTACTTCTGCGGAGAGGGCTCGACACAATAATGTGGAGCACTATTATATCACCAAGATATGCTTTATATTGGACAAGTCCCACTGAACATGCAATAGTCGCCTGATGATTGCATTTAAAAACAAGAAACTCTGAGTTTCCACTACTCTGTAAACCTCCGTTGTGCCTTTTCTTTGTACATTAGGAAAAAGTCTGCAGAAAACATCGAACGTCACCATCAGGACTCGAACCAGGTCCCTTCGCTTGAGGCCAGCGGTGCTCTAACCACTGGTGTACATGATGCAGTCATTCACGCTTTGCACTGTGCCATCCACAACTTTTAGATTTTCGCCATGCTGCAGCTATTTTTACACTTTGCTTCGTGAGTATATAAAGGAATACTGATCCAGATTTCTCATTACTGTTTTCTGATGATCGCTTAGTGCGTGAAACTCGGAGTAAAAACACTTTCTCTGTTCTCCTATTGTTTGAGTAATGGTGTACATGCAGCTGTCATCCCAGCAGAGACTGTTCAACATTTTCTTCAGACTTAGAAACTCAAGCTTCCTGTGAATCCACACAGGCGGGTGGGACGCAGCCCTCACTGTATCCCACATATTCGCGTACATGCGGGGCGCCCCAAGCCATAAAATATTCATAGCTTTGAGGGAAAGATGCAAGCGGGAAAAGTCTGAATACTATACAGTCTAGCATTAGTGTGCGAATCGGAACCGGTGGATGGCAACATCGACCCACCTTTCCTGTGATCCCGTACACTTACCGCGGTTAGATAGGTCTGGGGAACGCTTGAAAGGATGACCCAACGGGCCCGCCAGGTTCAGGTGACCGAGATATGCCAAGATGGCGTGTGTGATCTGCCTTATTGCACTCTGCACCTGGGTGAGCTTCGTCTGTGTTTTAGCTGCTGCCTTCAGCGCCGCAGCGTGTGCCCTAGCCGCGGCCTTCGCTTTCTGTGCCGCTATGCGAGCCTTGGCCGCGGCCGCTGCTTTAGCCGCCGCTTCACGATGAGCTCTAGCCTCGGCCTCGGCCAACGCCTTCATCTTCTTCTCTTGTGCACTCAATGCTTTTTTGTGTCCCTTTGCAGGCTTTCCGGCTTTCTTGGGTGCTTCTTTGAGGCCAGGGAGATGTCCAGGGAAATGGTTGGACAGGCCGAGTGCTAGGTGGGTTGAATGTGCCTCAGCATGAGCGATACCATAGCGCAGGGCGTGGTACAGCAGGAAACGAGCTCGAGGTACGGTGAGCTTTATCTTGTGGTGCTTGAGTCGCAGCAGACTGTCGGCGAGGAAGTGCTTGCTGACTAAAAGTGATACCCGACGATTGGCATTCGACATGATATTACTCACAATTGCCAAATAGCTCTGCAGGCGATCGCCCGAGACAATAGCCTCTGTGCCCTTCTTCTTCGTTTTGTCTGGAGAACGCCCGGCATACTGCCCGAATGGAGCGGCTTGAACTTGGACGGCAAGCCACACCGTCAACATGCCAAGCAGCAAGATCGTCTTGCCTAGCGTCATGGTTGTGCTCACTGCCACAACTATCTTCTCAGTTACGCGTGTTCTAGCTGTCGGCCAAGGCAATGAAAACACAAACAAAGTTCCATAAAGCCTGTTACAGTATGGAAGACCAGTGGATGCGACATCTTATTCTTATTCTGTCCAAATGATGTTGGACCACGAGCGCCCAGGCTGCACGATGCGGAAGGCAAGCGTTGACCCATAATACCAGATGATTAAGCTTAGCCATACCCGCAAGCTTCCTGCACCTTGCACACCCCAGATGGTAACTGCACCTAGCGAGCTCGTATAGTGAAACACACCTTGCAAACACCAGAAGGTAGTGAGGAAATGATCCCGCACCACGTTATAGCAATATTATTTTAAACAGAATACTGGCCAATCGAAGTCGTCGAGAGCTTCCGCTCACTCAAGAACGGGTATCTGTCCATTACGACATTAGTTTGAAGGTGTAGCCCGCGTTGTTATAACGCCATTGCAGGTTTAACCATGTTTTCCTATGTCAGACACGATGCCAATGTACTTCGTGCCATTCATGCTGCCAATGTCCTTCGTGCCATTCTTGCTGCCAAATGCGTTCTCGCCTCGTTCTTCGCAACTCGCGTATCCTCTTGCTGATGTTTCCCATAGTTTTTACAATCCATTGTTCATTTCGCCACTACCCGAATTATTGCTACCTTCATTACTGCATTCGTCACCATCATTTTTTTATTGGGCAGTTCTGCACGGTTTTTTTTTATCAACAATCACATCATAACTACTCTCTCCAGCCGACCTCGATATATTGCCACAGCACACCACCAGCAAAACGACGCATCCGTTGGTACTGAATTCCTTCCTACGGATGTCACGAGTACAAAACGCTCGTCAGTTAAGGTCGATACTGCGCAATGACTAAGATAGTGAAATCACCCTTTGGAGAGCGCAGGTATGGCGTGGTGGTTGATGTATATCTGTGCAAGGCCGAATGCTGCGAAATCACCGCTCCCCGCTTTGGCTGCCTATACTATCATTCGGTTGCAGACATTGTCCTCAGGGTGTGCAGACTCCGCTGTAGTCCCTTCATCTCTCACGTTCTTTTGGAAGAATTGTACCGGAGAGGTCGTTTGGGCAGCGGTGTACAATTGTGCGGTCGAGGACATCGTTACTAAAATCCCTTGTGCAGCCTGTAGCAAAGAGCCTGAGTTGTGATGCCCGTGGCAAAACTTTCAACGTCCCACGGAAAATACAAGGCTCAAATGTAAGGTTCCCTGTCAGGTCCGGACTAACGCAAATAATTATATGCAATTCCTTACCCCCAGGACGGCACAGCTACGGAGCTGCCCCTAAAGCAGCCACATAGCAAAATCTGGCCGTCAAGAAGAAAATGAAGGTGTCAAAGGCGTGTCCGAGCGTCTGCCTGTGCGTGTGTATATGTGTGTGTGTGTGTGTGTGTGTGTGTGTGTGTGTGTGTGTGTGTGTGTGTGTGTGTGTGTGTGTGTGTGTGTGTGTGTGTGTGTGTGTGTGTGGGTGTGTGTGTGTGAAGCCACGTCATAGCTGTGTGGTGTAGACCAGGCTGAATAGTGGCGGTCAATTCTTCAGCCTTGCAATCTGTTGAATGGTGCGATCCCAGCACAAGCTGCTATGGCTTCTGCTGTAGCATCGCTATCATCGCCACCGGCGATGGGCGTTCAATGGTCCAATGGTGTGTGTGTGTCCTTTACTCTGGCGGAGGACGGTTGTACTTTTTCGGGCTCTTGTTTCTGGCCTCCGTCCGTGCTTATTCTCACCGTTGTGGACGGCCTGGGGCGTCCCCAACCGTCCAGGCCAACAGTGCCTGATGTGGGGTCCTCATCGACAAGAGACTTAGTCGGATAGTTACGATGCCGACACTCTCCTCGTCGCCCCCACCTCGGAGTCCTTCGCGAGGCCTTGCAAGCCCGCAAGTGGAGCAAACTACCGCACATAGACGATGACTTGGACCGACTCTGAGCATTGGCGCAGGGAATATTCGCTCTCTTGTGGAGAGTGATAGACCGGTTCAAGCGGCAGCCGTGAGAGGAATCGTTTCTGACGATAAGCCAGATCCATAGCTGCCAGAGATAGCTCTCTTGTTTGTGCAAATATTGAACGTTGTCCCTGACCTCTCTCTCAGTGGACTGATGTCTTTCCAGTTTGGCCGTCGCTGGTCGTTCCATAAAAATTATCGGCCCCGCAAGGGGACACGTGACCGTAATGGCAGTGTTTACCAGGACCAGGACCAGGTGTGTGCGTGCCTATGTGTGTGTGTGTGTGTGTGTGTGTGTGTGTGTGTGTGTGTGTGTGTGTGTGTGTGTGTGTGTGTGTGTGTGTGTCTTAGCTGTGTGCTGTAGACCAGGCTGAATAGTGGCGGTCAATTCTTCAGCCTTGCAGCTGTTGAATGGCGCAATCCCAGCACAAGCTGCTATGGCTTCTGCTGTAGCATCGCTGTCATCGCCTCCGGCGATGGGCGTCCAATGGTCCAATGGTGTGTGTGTGTGTGTGTATGAAATAGATCACCAACATTAAGGAGGGCAATTCCATGACATCATAATTATTCGTGTCACATCCACATTCCACAGCCCACAAGATCAACGCACATTCAACCTTATCACTCACACACGGACTTTGAAGTAATCACACACACGCTCTCTCTCTCACGCACGCACACACACACACACACACACACACACACACGCGCGCACACACACACACATACACACACACTTGTACTTGTTGCTCACTGCCAAAACTGGTCACGTGGGTCTCGCCAGGAGAGGAATCTTGGAAAGATGACTCCAGTGCCTATTGAACCGCCCAAGGGCCGACACCCCTGAAATCCCCAAATTCTGGGTGGACTTGAAAAGGATCCCACCTACGGGCTCACCACACCACAGTGAGTGGGCGAGGACAAGGTGCGGAAAAGGATTGACGGCATCAGGATAACCGTCCTGGGATCCAACTGCAGTTACCCCTGCCCTCAGTGAGGGTAATACTTGCTACTGGTGTGGGTGGCTAAATAAGAGTTTACCTGATATACGCTTCACTAGCACCATTGATGACACAAGAGTTAATCCAGCCAGAAGCAGTCCATGGTGAACAGGTATGTATAGTGTATACTTCAAATAGAAAGTGTTTGAAAGCTGGAACCAACATAGGCAGCCGGTACACCATTACACCTTCAAGCAGCCTCACCCGTTGGCACCAGTCCCAAACACTGTCTGAAATACGTGTAACCACCAACCGAACTAGCTGGCACACACACACAAACACACACAGATGCTCGCATGCTTCGCCTCAATCTCCAAATCCAGATAATTCCATCCGCGGTTCCCGCTACAGCCCATAGGACAGAATCACAGTCAGGAAGCAGAAGACGTGTAATTCACAGCTCTCCAGGGCATGAACAGAGTGGCAAGCAACCTCTTGCCTTCAATAAGACTATGGGAAAGTTTGTTTTTACAAGATTGCCCCAAACAGTCATGGTGCAAACGCTGGCAAAAGAAGCACAGAGGGGCACATAGCAATGGCAGCGACAGCAGTGAAGGCTGTGCAAGAGCAGGTACACCGACCAAAGGTCTCGATATCAAATACAGTAAACCTGGTTTAAGCGATCACCTCACGGTGCAAGTAAAAGCGGTCGTTAAAGCCAGGTGGTCTTTAAAACCAGGTCCCACAGTCTCTGCGGAGAACTGTCCGTGCATGGAAACACGGTCGTTAGGAGCAGGTGATCGCTAAACCCAGAGATCGCTTCCACCAGGTTTTACTCTATCTGAAAGTAAGTCATAGGCATTCAACTTCACAAGCTCTTGAGAACAGCGCGGAGAATAGACGAATGTTTCAAGCAAGCAAGCAGCAAGAAAGCAGACCTAAAGAGAAGATGGTTGGCACAGGTTCGGAGTTATGAGGTGATATACACAGGGAAAGCGATCTACAGCAACACACGTTTTCAGCTGCTTCCGATGTAAAGCGCCTCTCGGTGCACAGTGATGTGATTGAGTAGGTTTGCCTCAAGGAATTACAAATTAATGTTACCGAGCCTACGTAACGGCATGATTGAACTTCAACACAGGTAAAAGCCAATGTGCTGACAGTGGACAGCTTGTCTACAGTCTATGTACGGTGGAACTCTTTCAAACATTCTCTGTTTTTAAACACAGCAGCGAGTTGAGAGCAAAAATCACTGGTGGCACCGCAACGGGACAAGCACAGTTTCTTCAACTGTACATTGCGCTTTACGCCTTCGAAGAATCTCAACTCGTCATCCTGATTACTGGCAAACGTGTTCCAATCCAGGTGCAAGCTTTCCAGCTTGCCGCAACGCTCCAGCATGGTGCAAATACAGGGCAGGGGCACAGCACCATCATTGCACATGTCCTTGATATTGACCGTGCGGATATTTGAACACCGACACAGTGCCGTGCACACCGACACGAAGCCACCGACACCCACCTGGTTACCCACAGCATAGAACACCTCGAGCGTACCCGCCATCGCACCCACAAGCAACGACAGAGCTTGGCCGTCGCGAACACCACAATGAGAAAGATTCAGCTCGCGAACATTGCTCCATGGCCCTGCGCCTAGCGATATGTAACGCGATAGACCAGCACCCGAATGGCACCATATTGAGTTGACCGCCCTCACATCAGCGCAGAGCGGCCCACACAGTAATGACGTCAGTGCAACACAATCGTGTGAGGAAAGAGACACACCAGCGAGCATCAGCTTCGCTGCAAGCATGGCTTTAAAGAGGGGGAATTCCCAATCACAGGGCATGCAATTATACTGCGCACGCTCATGATGTGCAGAAACAAGCTGCATAAATAAGTTTTCAGATGAATCGGCATCACTCAGACTTACGATATGAGAAGGAGCATCCAGCGCGGATTCATCATCCGCTAGCACAGCAGCGGGTCTGAGGAGATTTTCGCACAGCGCCACCAGCTTGAAATTCACTTGCTGCAGCGCCTCGAGCAGCCGAGCACCACAGGCAGTGGAGTTGGTCTCCATCCACAGCGACAGAAGAGTCTGCAGGAATGTTCCATCCGCAGGTTCTTGGTCAACGGGCATGCAACGGCGCACACGCTGCTCTCCCCGTCCTTTGCCATGGTCGCCAAGAGGAACGTCGAGGACATCGGCGAGTGCTGTCATGTCGGCACATGTGAGAACTCTGCACAGACCTGCTCGCACCTTGGCCGTCTCGAGCTCACCACTCAGGACACTACAATCGTCCTGAACTTCCTCGGCCATGACAGCGTTCCAGGCAGCTCTTTTGATGGACAAATCAGCATACTCAGCAGACTTCTCTTCCTCCTCGGCAGCCAAGTATCCGCAGTGTATATTGTCGAACATGGCAGCCTCTTCGGCTGCTTTATCAGCCGCGCGGCTTGGATCCGGAGGTATAGGATCATCACACTGGATACACCAGAGCTGCTCCATGACGGTGAGGGAGACGGCCTGCGGGCAGAGGGCGATGAGAAACTTCCAGAACATCACCATGTGCCCGTCGTAACCGCCCACCTCCTGCACAAGAGTCACGGCGTGATTCCTCTCCTGCACCACACACTGGGCCGTGTACCACGCTGCCAGGAACTCCTGCACTGATAGGTGGCAGAATCGGCACTGCTGATCGGAACCAGGCCGTGCGCTCTGGCAAGGTTGCAGAAGTCCCAACTTGGCCACGCCTGGGCTTAGGTGAGAGCTGGAGATGTCGGATATCTCGAACACCATCCTTTTCAGCAGCAGCATGCGAAAGGCAAAACGGCCAAGTTCATACAGCGACTGGATCGTTTTTGCCGGCGCCATTTCCAGTGACTCGCATGCCGAACCGCCTGTTTGCTGCACGACTAGCCTCAATATAGATTCGTACAGAGCTGTGCCGCACGTCCACAAGCCGTAGCCTCTCCTATAGAGTTCACATGTCATCGCTGTGAACATGGGAATCGCCATCAGAGACACCACGTCCGACCTGTGCTGTTGGGCGATCTCCGCCAGCAGATCGTGAGCGTGTTCTGCTCCGAGTACCTTCTCCGCATACTCACTTACATCCTCCTGGGAAAACCCAAGCACATGGACCCTGCGCCCATACTCTCCACACTTTGATAGCCTGCAGGCAGCTCTGCATGGGCGTGTTGTGATGATCACGTGGGCTTGTGCCATGCAATTACGCTTTAGCAAGTCCTTCATGAAAGTGCTGCTGTTCTCCTCATCATACTCGTCGAGGCCATCCAGCACGAGGCACAGACGACCAAGCCTGCTTTCAAAATAGCCCGCCAACTCTGATAACTCGTTCACTGACATCCTTGCGCTAGCAAACGCCACAGCAATGAGGTCGGCCAGAGATTTGGCTGACATCACGTCTGGCTTACGCAGCTCCAGTCCGAGAACAAGATCAAACTTGTCCTGCCATAGTTCGCCTCTACTCCACAGATAGGCAATCAGCAGCAGAAATATTGTGGTCTTTCCACTCCCAGCGGCTCCATAGACGAGAACATTTTGCAACGAACCGCATGCCTTTTCCGACTGATCAACCGGCACGGGTACTGTTTTCCACGGGGACCTGCCGCCGTCTTCGTCCAAACAATAGCTGTGCGCGTTCTCAGCACTTTGGACTGGAGCTACCACATATTCATTGAACAATCCGGTCAACTCAACTCTCTTTGCTCTACTGAACAAGTCGGTGTGTTCGCGTCTCTCGGCATATGTTGTAAAGGGCCATTGGTCATCAAATTCTTCCTTCACTTGCTTTTCGGATACGAGCGATAAATTCACAACGATTTCGCCAAGCTGGACGACTTCTTCGCCCAACAATCCTCCACAGATTCGGATCGCATAAGCCTCTGTCACTTCACACAGTATTTCTTGGGCTCTTGCCAGCGAGCGCGGAAAGCCCTCGCACTTGTTCGCCATTGCGAAGTGGCAGAGATCGCAATCCTACGGCCTCACAAAGTAGATCTACCAACTTCCAAACAAAAATCTCCTTGCTGGTGGTGTTGGAAAGCATCACTTGGATGTGCGACAACTCCCGACCGTGCATAGCGCCCTTGGCCATGTCTACGGTCCTAGCTCCCCCTCTCCTGTTGTACTCCACAACCGTGAATAGAGACGACTGCTGGCCACTCGCCACCGTAAACAAGACAGGTGGATCACACCTGACGATCTCCCGCCGGAGGTTCTCAGCATGTTTCGAGAAAAATCACAACACGTCTACAACACAACAGCTGTACACCGAGTGCACGTAGATCTACTAAGGGCGCGTTCGAATTGTCTTCATCAACTGTTGAAACAAATTTTAGAAAGAGATTAGTTGAAGCGTCCCATTAGAACGGTTTCTATCATTTTTTAGAGTTTTTCAGTGGAATTGTCATGGCAATGATGATGTCCGACCAGATCGACCATCTCCACGCAGTAGAGATGTAGCTAGTCCAAATTCTTCGAAACTAATCCACCTCTCCCATCAGGTGAGGTTGTGGAGTTTCGAGGAGCTTCATTTTTCTGAAGAGGCAAATAAGGCCACCTCTTCAGAAAAACGAAGCTCCTCGAAAAGTCAAAGAGTGACAATTCGAACGCACCCTAAGACATGTACAATCATGTACAGTAATCTACGATTGTGTGTATGACACATTGACAGGGAGTGGGACAGGTAGAAATCATATGTTCCCCCCCAAATAGGGGAGCGGATTTTTCTCTTGAAAACCCTGCCAAGGATATTGAAGAACACAGTGAACACGAAAAAACGGGTGAAAAACTGAAAGTCCTTGAAACCCCGTTCAACACCCTTTAGCAAGCCCTATCCATGTAAAAAGGATGTGGACCTCAAACTTTGCGGCCCTTTTTCTCGAAAGTATTAGTTTGAAAGGTGGGCAACATGTGATTTCTACCCGTCCCCGCTTCCCGATTACACTGTTCAATATGAAATTGGTGCTAGTAGATCGACATGTGCATGCATGCTGCTCTAGCTATGAAGTCTGATGCGGTGAGTCAAGCCCAATCGCTGTGCAGCTGGTCCACACTATACTGATTGTTCGGCAGACATCGGCTCATACCAGCACATTACACCTAGTACTAGTACTTTAGCAGCTCGGACTGTGTAAAAACTCGTACGATCGTCCGCGCTCTGTCTAGCGTCTGCTACGCGCAGTGTAGGTCTACGGTCTAGCGTCTGCTACGCGCTGTATACGGGCTAGCGCGGTAGCACGGCTGTGTATCACGTGCACGTGTACATGTACGTGTGTGAACAGACAGGCGCCTACAACAAGGGCCTACAACCACATGTACAATGTATTTTTGTAGTACAAGCCACATTCATACAAAAGAGACAGGACCAAGGAACTACAAGTTACGCTATACTGTCCACGAACACCACCAGTCCTTTCTCTTTTGTATAAATTAAACCTAGGCTCTCCATCCGAGTACGAGCCACAATGCTCACATTTGCGCGTGAACTGCTAGTCCGACTCATCCTACTGTCGTGGACATGGAAATCCGGTCGCACGTCTAGCGGCCCCAGGGTACTGGTCATGCAGCCGTGACTCGTGAGTAGATCTACGCATCGCCGGAAATGACGTGCGCACAAGGCATAATACAGAGGTTTAGCACAACGAAATTCGTTGTTCATTTTCGTTATGCCGCTGTACGAAAAAGCCGACCGAAATTCGCTGAATTTTTGTTTAGCAGAACGTTCTCCATAAACTTCGGTGTCGCTAGTGGATACCGTGGGTGTCGCGGAAATCCCCGCGAAATACAAAAATAGTAATCCTCGTCACTGCCCGACTTTCGTAAACTGGTGGCCTCACCACTCGAATGCTTCTTGAGCAGGAGATGAAACCGATCCACAAGCCCTTTCTTTTTCAGCCCAGCAAATTTCTCATCGCTCTGGGAAAGCAGCAGAGCTGCTTCTTCATTCGTGCGTGATTTCCGCAAGAAACGGCATCGACCTCACAAGGCGGAGCATCATGAGATCCATCTGCGTATCCCATGTAAGTCGTCGTCCCTCCTGATCACCAGAGGTAACAGCAGCTGCAGAGACTGCAGGATTTGAGTTCGGCTCAGACATTCTGGTCGTGAAAACAAGAACCTCAGAAAAAAATGTCGAAAGGAAAGGAAATATTAGAGAGGTTTTGCATTCCGAATTTCGGAATTATTTTCGGAATGTGGCGGCAGCAGTCGAAAAAGTAGTCGAACTTTCGGAAGTGTGGTGGCGAAAGTGCATGGTTTTCCGAAAATGGATTTTCGGCTCTTTCATGTTTGGGAGTACATATTTGAATACAAAAAGTGTATTTTTCATGTTTGTATTTTTGCTTTCTGCTGCTCTCGATTATTTGAAAAAATTTCCACGTATGTAGTCAGTTTGATTTTTGCTGGTTTTGCTGCTCTCGCTGATCTCGCCATGTTGACTAATCTTCTCACACTCCATCACACTCTATCTTCCTTTGCCATGGAGCCTACTGACAGTACAAGACAGTAGTTCGCCAACCTCGTCTTCAGCTGTTGGATCACTTGGTCCACCATCAGTACGTCCTCATCTTCGAACCGCACCCAAAAACAGTTTGGCCTGCGCACATGGATTTGATCCTGCTCAGGGAGTCGTAAAATACCAGGTATTTTACGACTCCCTGATCCTGCTCAACCCCTTCGACGCTCTCCATTTTGTTTTGCATGGCAACCCTTGGAAACGAAGTCGAATCAGATTTTCGGAATGCAAAACACTGAAAATACCGTTTTTCGGAACGCGCTTTTTTCGGAAAAGCACAGTCGAAAATCATTCCGAAATTCGGAATGCAAAACCTCTCTATTCTTATGTGATCGCGGTACGAAACGTCGACAGACCTGTGATGTTGCAGGCCTCCTGGTTAATACTATATTATAGTATTGTACTATTATAGTATCTTGTACGATATTTATATGTGTATCTGTTTTGTTCCCTTTCTCTGTGCTTTATGTTCCTGGTTCTTGGTCTTTAGTTTTGTCTTTGTTAGAGCTTTGGTTTGACCAGTACTGTAATAATAATAATGTCCCAGAACATTACATTGGCGACGAAGATGAACTAGATTTAATAGTTATAGTCATAATAGATGACCTGAGTAGGCCTCAGTGACAATGGCGCTCACAGGAGTAGGCCCGGCTTTGGAGCCGTTCGATCTCGAGGGTCCTGCCCATGAAGTTTCTGCAAGATGGCGCAGGTGGAAGAGATCATTCCAGTACTATGTGGATGGGCAGAACATAACATCCGCGAAGAGGCAGAGGAGTCTGTTGCTGTACTTGGCTGGTACGCCAGTACAGGAGAAATTCGAAACGCTAACAGAAGATGAGGATACCGACAATTTATTCGAGCGAGCTGTGAGTGCTTTGGACAAGGCTTTCGAGTTCGTGGCCAACAAGAGGTTCGAACGTTATAAGCTTCGTCAGATGTCACAACGGACTGGTGAAACAGTATCTCAGTTTTCGACCCGTTTGCTTGGGCAAGGCAAATACTGTGACTATGGCACCGACATGGAGGATCATGTACGCGACCAACCGCTCATAGGGATATCGGACAATCGCCTGAGAAAGAAATTGTTAGAAGTCGACGACCTCACTTTGGCGGTGGCCTTGAAAAAAGGTCGCGAGTATGAAACAAAGGAGCAGCACGCACGTGATATGTCAACATCGACAAGTGCAAGTCACAGTGCAAGCCATGATGGGCATGGGTCCAGTTCGTACGGTACGGGTGAAGCTGCACCAGGAAATGTGAATGCTGTGCACGGCGTACCCCAGCAAGAGTGTCAAAACTGCGGAAAAGTTGGCCACTTCGCCCGCGACCGCGACCGGAACTGTCCTGCACGTGGCCAAAGGTGTAGAAAGTGTGGCATAAACGGTCACTTCGCATCCAAAATTAATGCAACGGAGGTGACAAACAGCGTACAGGCAACACGCGTCACGCTCCCAAGTCGGGAAAGGCAAGGTGGTGCTCAGAGGTCAACGCATTGTTATCCCTACAGCGCTGCGACACCAGACCGTGCAGTTGGCACATGAGGGCCACCAGGGCATCGTGAAGACGAAAGAGCGTCTACGGTCCAAGGTTTGGTGGCCAGGCATGGATAGCGAGGCCGAGAAGCTCTGCAAGTCGTGTCATGCCTGCCAAGTGGTTGCAGCGCCAGCCAATGCACCGCCAGTCAAGTCCACTCCTCTTCCAGATGCGCCATGGCAGCATTTGGCTGTTGACTTGCTGGGTCCACTACCGTCTGGCGAGCACATTGTGGTGCTCGTGGATTACTACAGTCGATATTTCGAAGTAGATGTGGTCAAGTCAACATCAGCTGAAGCTGTGATTCCGATGATTGAAGCCCAGTTCAGCCGACACGGTATCCCGACGAGTTTGCGTACGGATAATGGCCCACCTTTCAACTCGGAAGGGTTTGCGAAGTTTCTACAGGAGTGTGGTGTTCAACAGCTTCGTACTACACCACTGTGGCCGAGAGCTAACGGTGAAGTTGAGCGACAAAATCGATCCCTGATGAAAGTGATCCGTGCTGCATATGCGGAAGGAAAGACGTGGAAGCGGGAGGTTCAACGATTCTTGATGGCATACCGCTCAACGCCACATAGCACCACCGGAGTTGCTCCAGCTGAGTTATTGTTTGGGCGCAAAGTGCACTGCAAGTTACCAGCCCTCGGTGAACCAGCGACAAACGAGGCCGTCAGAGATCGTGACAGCGAGCGTAAGCAGAGTATGCGTGACTCTGCAGATGACGCCAACCATGCCACAAGCCAGTCAACGCAGATAGGTGACTCAGTACTGCTAAAGCGTTCCGAGACAAGGTCGAAGGTCGACACACCATTCCATCACCAACCTCATGTGGTGGTTAGTCGGAATGGGGACCAAGTAGTGGTTCAGGCACCGGATGGGAAGCTTGTGCGGAGGAACGTACAGTTCACCAAACCATTCCCGCAGCAGCATCCAGCTGAACCTAGCCCCAAAGTGCAAGAGGCACCCCAGCATCGTGCGGAGCCCCGCAGGTCAGACAGGTTAAGCGTGAAATGCTAAGTAACCTGTCCGGCCCTTGTTCTGTTCTGCATTGACTAGGCTGTGTGACAGTTGTGTTTGACTGGTCGTTCGGCTAACAATGTATGAGCTAGCATTATACTGTATATTTACATATTTTATGACATGGATTGATAGAACGCTTTTGGTTATTCGTCGCGTTTTGGACAGCCTATTTTGGTTTATTTAGTTTGTTGAAATGCTACGTTGAAGTTTGCTATGGTCAGTATTTCTATGGACTGTAGTTGTAGACTTTCGAGAAAAGGAGGAATGTGATGTTGCAGGCCTCCTGGTTAATACTATATTATAGTATTGTACTATTATAGTATCTTGTACGATATTTATATGTGTATCTGTTTTGTTCCCTTTCTCTGTGCTTTATGTTCCTGGTTCTTGGTCTTTAGTTTTGTCTTTGTTAGAGCTTTGGTTTGACCAGTACTGTAGTAATAATAATAATGTCCCAGAACATTACAAGACCAAACTTCGTTGGATTGATGTTTTCCGCGAGTGTGTGTCCCGAAGTTCGTGGCAAGTTTCGTTACTCGTTCCCGGGCTTCAAAATCTAACGAAAATTCAGACGAATTTCGTTGTGCTAAACCTCTCTAATGCTTGATCCACACTACCGTAGTTCCGCGCATATAAGCCCATGGGCCTATATCCGGATATAAGCCCACCTCCGTTTATAGGCCCATGGGCTAATAAAGAGACCCAAACACCGTTACCTGGTTACGGAACCGATAGTACAGCATGTCAGTGCAGACTACATTACTATAATTATTATTACCAGTACCGGTACCTACGGTAGGCGGACAACCGCGCACGGACGTGTACTTTTTCGCGTGCCGGCTACCTTCAAAATTCGAATATAGGCCCAGGGCTAAAAAAACGAACCATTATTACTATTTTTTCCCCGGAAAATGTATTATTTCGTATATTAGCCCATGGGCTTATATGCGCGGAACTACGGTACAGTTGTAGGCCGATTATGGAATCATAACCGGAGTTGCGTGGTGGTGAATGTCGACGCAGAAACTATTATGGAATCATACAAAAATCCTCAAGATGGGCGCGAACATTGCCTGGTGTGGACGGTGTTATTGCACGAGTTTCCGACAACCCTGTGTGTGTGTGTGTGTGTGTGTGTGTGTGTGTGTACATGTGTGTGTGTACATGTAGGTCCGACCTAGTCGATCGATTTCATGGCGGAATCGGTGTCGGAGCATCGGCTGAAAAATCGGCCTAGTGAGAGCCAGGCATTAGGTCATTTCTTCTCTCTTCACTGTTTGCTTCACACAAAGGAGGTAGCTTAAAATTAGACATTCAGGCATTCGATGTGCAGGATTGAGAGCAGATTTCGGCATTCAACTTGCAGAATATAGCGCAGGTTCACGCATTCGAATGTACAGAATTTAGAGCACACTCAGGCTTTTGACGTTTTTTAAAGAGAATTTAGAGCAGATTTAGGCATTCGACGTGCAGAATTTGGAGCAGATTTCCTAGTAGGCATTCTATGTGCAGAATTCAAAACGGTGGAATGCACCAGGTTTTCCCGTAAAGAAAAGGGACTTTTCGCACCCCCACACGGTGATGGGTCACTGAATTCTACCAAACGAAATACATGTACTAGTATACCGGTACAAGTACATGTACATTTACATTGTACATTAGGGCTTGGCGGATAATGCCGGCAGAATTTTCGGCAGAAAACGCCTGTTTGGGGGGTCGAGCATCTTTCGGCAGAACGGGGGCTGAAAAAGCATTCTCTGCCATGTCAAATGACAGTTACCACGGAATTGGCGTGCGACGTTCTGCTTTTGCAGCAGATTTGCCGCGTTCTTCGACACGCAGTCCATCCATCCACCAAATGTGGCCGGAACTGTTACTTTGCGGAAGGTATCAGCCTTGAATGGCAGGCCAGTGGCAGAAGTCTACGAGTCGTAGATCTACATATTAGTGAGGTTTTGCATTCCGAAATTCGGCAAAAAGATTCGGCACGCGGGAGCGAGGTCGAAAATGCACACGAAGATTCGGAGTGTTTGTTCGGAAAAAGCTCACTTTGCCGAAAATATTTTTCGGATGCATTTTCTTGTAGAAGAGCGCTAGCGCGTGATTTATTCAAAGAGGTTTCTTATCTCGGCATCGCTTGGCAGGCGTCTTTGGCGACATAGCATCGTCAGCTACCTCTGATTGCTCCTCTCCACTGCCTGTCGACTCTCTTTCGCCTGGAGTGTCCTCACCGTCATCTGTGTGGCTGAAAAGACTATGGCGACACGCATATAATTTGACTTGGCTATGGACTTGGCTATGGAGGAAACTGTGCAGCTCGACACCCGGCGAGAAATCGGTATCAGCAGCTACTACACCTAGCTGATGATGCTCACAAGACAGAAGCGGAAAAAACACTGAATTTCTTTATTTAGTGCTCTACTACGCGAAATGTGCTATTATTATTATTATTATTATGGAGTTGGTTTTTCTGAGGCGACTGAGGAGGCAGGTTTGGCCCTCGACTCTTTGGGCGATCAAAGTTCGTTGGAATCAGCAAGAAAAGGCGCACGGGACAGGACGTTGCTGATGCTGGGGCTCACGAAATGAAAACACATCATTTTCGACTTGCAAAACAAACGTTGGTGCGAAAATTCGACATTTTGATGTTCGACAAATGACCGAAGAACGCTGTACCGAAATTCGGAATGCAAAACCTCACTAAAATGGCCCAGTTGCAGCGATTTTCGACCTTCGGTGAAAAAGCCCGATGTGTGAAAAGATTCAAATCAAATCATCTTTTGCTGCGCAAGCCGGGCCGCGGACGGGTATTCCGTGGATCACGACACCATGTACCATGTACCAGTGAAGTCAGATTTGAAAATGTTCGCAAAACAAGCATTTTGTAACGAAGGTCGAAAATCGCTGCAACTGGGCCATATTATGTAGTGTGGCTAGCCTTCTTCTGAAGTGCGCCTGCGCCGGCCACATGTGTTCTTTTTCATGCCTTGTCTAGTATTTCACATGACTCATCTTTTTAGATCCTGAACCCAATTATGTGTGCCAAGTGTATTTTTACATAACTGGATTTCAGCAGAAATTTCAGCAGAAAATGCACTTTCATGAGCAGAATATTGAGCAGACCGAAAAGCAGAATGAGGGATTTCGGCGAGCATTATCCGCCTAGCCCTATTGTACATGGGTACTATATCTCCGGACAGCTACATATTCATGTAGCTGTTTCGATCTTGTCAGGTCACTTCAGCTGAGCTAAGAGTTACTGGCCGAACTGATCGTAATGAGGGCGTAAATGTCAGTTAAGAACGACAGAGGCATTTTTTGACGGGCTCACAGCATCGTACTGTCTTGCACATTGATACTTGTACACAAAGTGAAAACATACTTGGAATTACTAACCACACATCTCAATGAGCGTGCCGCAATAATCTCGTCACGGTTTTGAAAATAGAATGGGGACGCTTCTGTTGTTAGAGGAGTCTGCCAAAGACAATGTGCGCGGAAATTGACCTCTTAAGGCGCTGCACCGCTTCCCCGAGCCTGCACCTTAGACCTACTTCAGCAGCTCGGACTCAAATTCAAACTGACAATAATCCTAGCAACGTCTGCCAATCCAATCTTTGTTTTCCTGTACTTGTCTTGTTGAGTTTGCCACGCCTGTGACATGTCCATTGTTCTTTACAAATCTTGCTTGGTCCTGGGCACAATTTGGCAGTGGATTGTTACTCTCATGGAAATAGTGCGGGTGAAGGCGTAAGTCTAACAAGAATTACAACCCACATTCAATAACATGTACAGTGCTGGCAACTGAACTCCGACCCCCCCCCCCCCCCCCCCGAGCGGTGCGCTCACTTCGCAAAGACCCAACACGGGATGGTAAAACTACGCAACAGAGACCGCTAGAATGTGAACCCACCGCTCAGGGGGTGGGAGTTCAGTTGCCAGAACTGTACATGCGTTTGAAAATTATTTCTCAACTTACTTCACACTTCATATACCTCACACTCTATGATCATCATTGTGTTAGAGCGACCCCTTGCCTTGTGAGAAGTCATCATGTCTACCTCGGTTGATGAGGTAACAATAACTAATACCATACCATAGCAACAGAGAAAAGGGACATGTGCATTGTACATACAGCCGGTAAACGTTTGAACGTCAATACAAACACTCGGATGAGCTGCAAACATGAACAATTTCCACACTGTCATCTTTATATCGATTTTCTCTGAGCACTGTTATTGCTAAATTTGTACCTGAGAAAGTAAGAGAGAGAGAGAGAGAGAGAGAGAGAGAGAGAGAGAGAGAGAGACAGACAGACAGACAGACAGACAGACAGACAGACAGACAGACAGACAGAGAGAGAGAGAGACAGAGAAGGAGAGAGAGAGCAAATGTTTTCTTAGCCTTTGGTGTTGGGTATATCAACGTACGTGTACATGTACATGCAGCTACTGGCCCCCAAATTCCCCTGTTTGCATTCCAGTAGCAAGCTGTGACTATAAGCACCATCCATCATGTAACAGGACTTTACACAATACAACCGCGTCTATTACTTGTCCAGCCGCACGTGGATGGAAGTACTCCTGGGTTTGAAAAGCCCAAGACTGTTTCCGGAAGGCCGTGCCTTTCTCTCAGGAGAACGACAACTGTACATAGTATACTTGTTTAGCCGGAGAGTGCTGGTACATGTACACTGCACATGACATTGTATATTCGACTAGTCAGAATAGTGAGTGGACTGAGGCAGACAGACTGCGGAGTGCCAGTGGTATTCGTGTTCGTTCGGCACAATTGGCAGAGCCTCAACTGTTCAAGCTTGCGTCTGCTGTCTAGAAAGTTCAATATCGTTTGCGGCTATTTCCACCTCTACTCTGAGCACTCTGAGTACTCCTCGGAGCTACACGAAATCGATACGAGAGTTCAATCATGTATTCCGCACCGGCACTTCATAATGTCTAGATCTCAACAGTTTAAAAATTGTTCTCACAATGATAATTATGTACATTGTACTTGCATGAATGAACTACATATACATGTATGTTCTGTTTTGCAATAGTTATTGGATGGCTAGAGCATTGCTCAAGCAGTTGGTCTGAGCATCGCATAGTGTGAGAAACAAGATCCCAGATTTTTCTATTAATACATGTATGGTTTGGTTTGCTTCATTTTCTATGAATATGGCTTTTTTCCACTAGTACCACCACTATGCATTGTATCAAGAGTAGATAAACAAGAGTGTGCAACTCGCGGATGGGTTGGCCCACGGCGGAATTTTTTGTTGACGTAATCTTTTCGACGACGCACGAGCTGCGAGTCTTTCGGAAAGTTCTCCCTCGTGCTCTTGGCCGGCTTTACACTACAAGGTCGGTGCCCAGCACGTGCTCTCACACTGCTCTGCGGCGAAATGCGCGTTCTTCTGAAAAAAGGTGACGTCAACAAAAAATTCCGCCGTGGGCGGGGGTATCTGCAGATTGTGCAGGAGAGATCCGGAGTTGCACACTCTTGTTTATCTACTCTTGATTGTATTTTTAGCAGTCTTCTGTTCGTTAACTACCTGTTTGACTGGATTATTCCATAAATGTGTCGCGCCGGTGTCAGCATACTGCACTTTTACATAATTGTGTTTCTGTGTATTCCAAAAAGCTGAGAAGTGAAGCGTGAATGAGGCACAACTCACACTGCTAAGTGCTATTATGTGTGTGTGTGCGTGTGCGCGCGTGTGTGTATCCTATGTGTGTCCTCCCCGAGGGCACTGACATGCATTCATCGGCAAGTGCGTTCACTTCATGCTAGAGTGGAGATTCGAAAACAGCTTGGGGCACTGGCCACTGGGTCACAGTGGGTGCAGGGTTCACACTACAACCACGTATAATTTGAGAATGCTCCTTGACTGGCTGTGCAGCAGTCTTCAACCAGTACAATGACAATAAAATAGTATGTACATACACGGCTAGAGAGTCTGCAGAATATCATCGTCTCTGATGTACATGTACATGTACATTACTGTACAGATCGTTCTACCACTTCACCACCAAAGGTCCAGTGGAAAAGCGATCCGTCTCTACTCTGAGCTCCTGCACGATCATCCGAAGACCCCACCACTGCCGCTACGAAGACTAGCAAAACTGGCAAGACTGGATATATCGCCTCTCTCATAGTTTTATCCACACCACACTAGCAAGTAGCATTCTGTCTGCACTTCTGGTGCAAGTACAAGTGGTTGGCCACTGGTACATGGTGAACTCACATGCCAGATGATCAGCTGATCGGAGCGAGACATCAATGACATCACACCATCCAGCAGCCTAGCGCCTAATAAGGCCAGTACGGCAGTAGCGCACTTGTGTGCATGCGCTCCCTTATCCCCAGTCTAGTATGGTAAGTGTATTTCTTGATCTACATTGTACATGTACAATGTACATGTACATGTACATCCTATACAATGTACCTGGACGAGAAGTGTTCCTTCAGAAATTCAGTGCATGAGTCATCACATCGAGTCGCAAGTATACTCCAGACAATATTAGTACTATTAGCCTATGACCTCAAGGGCTTTTAGTCCTAATTATTTTAGAAGTTCAACGCACCTACTGCGGAGTAGAGAAACGGCCCACATCTTGAAAATGCCAGCGACTGGCGTAGATTTTTGCCGTTGCATTTCCATGACTCCTTTTTCGGAAAGATATCGGACATAACGTTAGAGACAATTTGAATAGTATTCAAATATTCCACTCGGAGCTCCGCTGACGAGACCTAACAAGGTCGAAACAACTACATTTAGTTATCCGGAGACTGAGACATCTTGAACGTACATGTACATGTACATTGTATGTATAACAACTTGAACAAGGACTGATGTACCCTTTCACTAAAAATATGTTGTTATTTTAGTCAAGTCTCCGGTCCTTTCATCCAGGGTGCTCAAGGTGTTGATTCTTCACGACTTGGTCACAGAGCAAGCATCCCAAGAATTTCGCAATGGGATTCCATTAAAAGGGTATTCCGTATTTGGCTGGAAGAACGTTGCACGCCAGTACGTCAGCGTTCGTACTGTGAAAGTATGGATCAAGGAGCGAATTAGGCCCTATTGTGGTTGAGCAATTTGGGAACAAAACAAATACAAACAAACAAAAACACTCCGTGCTTTGGGACGTGACATGGTGGCATGCTTGCCGCATGCAGGTCACGAACAGAGTGCTGTACTGTGTTTCCCATGTCCATGGGCAATTCAGACAATGCGGCTTATTATTCCGCAGGTATTGTTCCACATGAGTGCTGTACGTCGTTGTGAGACACAGGACATTATGAAGATTAGGTTAGGGGTCAACGCTGCTGGTCCGAATCCTGGAAGCACTGCGAGTCGTCGTCTTGACCAACACTCACTGTTAGGCATTTCATGCACATCTACATCAAGCATGAACCATAAGCAGAGATCTATGAGATTATGCATCGTCGCGTCCCATGATCCCCCGTCTCCACCACTAGCTGAGCTGCCAGTGGTACACGGTACGAACACTCGCGCAGTCGGGTCACGTCAGTAGTAGAAGGAGCAGCGCCAGCACAAGAAGCAGCCTACTTTGCATGAGAAGGGACCATGGTCAAGAGCTAGCTGTCCTCGCTATACCATTTTACAGTCAGCAGGTTTCAGATGGGTGATGGAATGCTGGCCACTGGAAGTAATTGTGACACCTTGAACGAGGTCAGAACAAAGCTAGCCCTTAGCCCCGGTCCCAGGACCACCTGCAACGACTCAACAAACAGAAACTCCACTTCCTAGATGCCAGTGTTCGAATGCACGCCGCGCCCAAAACACGTATCTTCTTCTCCGGGCAGCACTCGATAACACCGTCCATCCTCTGGTCGCGCCAGTTCAGGACAGTGCGTGACTTGTCGCGTCTCTCGCCCTGTCACACACTCGTACACCGGGATGAATTGACAGCAGCCAGCCTCTAGCTCTCCGAGTCTCTACCAAAAGAAATGAAGTCAGCGTCTGGGTAGTAGCTCCGAGGAGAGCTACTAGTATCAGCTCTGCACCTCCATGGTAAAGTGTGGTGCAGCACGCGTGAGTGAGTGGCCATGGCAATACCACTCTCACACTGTGCTGCTAGTGCACTCTGTGAAAGAACTGGAGAGTCCCCGGTCCACTTTTCAGTTGAAGAGTGTAAAGGATCTAGACCACGACATCACTGCTACTTTTCTAGGGCGTAATGGGGCAATCTGTAAAATTCGCACATTTTAGGGAAATGTGGTGAATTACAATGACTGCAAAATGTTCAGATACAGACATATGTTTTGACAGCACCCCTGAGAGAATTTAGTTCCCCGGCTCAGCCCCAGTGACAGGTTGGAACAATATGTAATTGTGCTGATCTTTGAGGGACACAGCGCAGTTTGGAGTTGTCTTGCATCCAGGTTTTGCCTACATGTCCGTCGTTGCCAAAGGCTCCAGGACAGTTCAGAATCTTGAGATGAAGAGAAAATCTAGAAAGGCAAGCGCACATCCACAATCCGCCAAAGCAGATACAAGATCTAGGGATCATCCTGAAGCTGTGGAGGATCACCACACAATACCTGTGCCAGACCAGAAGCAGTCAACTGCGTGCCAGGAGGCACGTGAAGCTTTGTCACCGCCCCTGCCAACGCTAGCGCCGGCAGCAGCTCAACCAACACCGCCTACATGTTGCTATTGCCGGGCGGAAATCAACGCAAGGACAATGTTTATAGTTGCTGAGGACGTAGAAGGGATGCTGGCATCGGATAGCACCAGTACCCCCACACCAGAAACTTTCCCAGACGTACCCAAGAATGTGCTGTCAGGGTTTGATGCGGTAACGACCAAATCCAAACCGCCCCCAGCAAGGATTATGAAACCCAGGTACCTTCACGAGGAGTGCCTTGCTTGCAGCGCGTCCGGATGTACATATGTACCTGCAATCGTCAAGCATGCAGACACAGACGTTACTTCATCAGATCAAGAAACAAATGTATCGGACGAAATGTTCCTGGTTGGTGATCTCCTGCTGTGCAAACAGCACTACACAAGCTACAGAAGGTAAGCTGGTTCGTGTCTCTGGGATTGATAGGGGTGTATTCATACTAACTGTCCGATAGTGTACTAGCACATTTTGTTTCAAATACATCCAAAATGGGAAATGTTACGAGGGGGAGAAGTACACATGTAACTTGTGGGACAAGAAAACAAATTTGGCTCTCCACTTCGTCTCTCTCTCTCTCGTACACACACACAAATGGTCAACCAAGGACTACGTATGCTTTATTTGTGAAGGTTCGAACGTCTTTGGTGCCGGATGTCCAAAGACGTGAGATGAGGAAGCTAAGAGAGACAAGCTCAGTTGTTGCTTTACCTAGTTCTAAGGAGTAATCACATAAAGTAGGTGATGACCCAAGACACAATGACTATTGGTGTACTCGAAGTAGTGGCTGGGTGATTTCCAGTATCCAAGATGAAACCTTTCCCTTGTCTACATCAATTTTTTTAAATTATGTTCTTCCACGATGCCGAGACGTCAATAAGGAAAGTTGATATGTGTGATCTAAGTGATACTAGCCAGAAACAGCTCGATGGAAACTACCCCATTTGGTGATGATGTTTGCCGTCGTTCTTGTTTTTGGAATTATTTATTCTCACGATGGCACCATCGCCAATAAGATATAAGTTTATGAGAAAGTAAGATGCTGTTTTTGTTGTTGTTATTGTCCTTGTTTGTTGTTGTTATTGTTGCTCTTGGTGTCGTCGTGGTCGTTACTATTATTATTTGAAGTACTATTATTTTTTAATGGGGCTGCTGTCATGCTTCCGCTGCTACCATCTATAACCTGGTACTGCGCGATTCCAAACGGGGGATGTGCCCACTAACATGGCAGCAAGCACAATAAAAATCGTGCTAAATTGCGCAGTACGCTAGAAGGTTGCTGAATGTATTTAGACATAAGTGGCGTGCATAGTATATCTCACGATGCACCATACCACATACGGCTGCGTGCTGTCAGCGCTGACTATAACAGTAGATTGTTCGTGATTTAGGTTAACGATAAGAGGCACATCTAGAGCATGTTGCTGATCTTCGCCCTTGGACTAGAAATTTCCTATTCTGGTTGTGCAAGTAGTAGATCGAGAGCGGAGATGGTGCTGTGAACCACGGAACAAATGTAATTAAGGAGGCCACCACTTGAAAGATAGATTACAGGTCTCAAATATCGTCCCTTTCCCTATGGCTATCGGCTACCCGGCTTCTCCACCTCCCCTGTCTCTCTAGTAGTCTCTCTCTCTCTCCTTCGAGCGTTGTCTCTCTTTGCGTCCTTCACATCAAACATTTCTATTCTCTGTCTCTGTGTGTGTCTCTCTCGTTCTCTCTCACACACAAACACACACACACACACACACACACACACATACTCTCTCTCTCTCTCTGTCTCGTTCTCGATCTCGATCTCTGTATGTCTGTATGTCTGTTTCTCTCCTTGTCTTTCTCCTGTCAAACACACGCAGACACAATTTTTGTCTCCTTGTCAATCTCTGACTATATTTCTGGCTATATATTGTCCTTGACCATTCATTTCATTGTTTGGGAGTACAATAATAGATATGATTACATATAAAGAATGGAGTAATTTCACATACTACGTCGGTGGAAAACTGAACGCCAATGCCAAGTTTACTCGCCTCCCCAGAAGTGGTCTTACCTATCGTGTAGTAAAAATGCTAATCGGCGTCCATCAGCACTGACTAACTCTATTGATTCAATTGGCGCTACAAATAGCATGAGGACTGTTGTATTGGAGCACGTTTCCATCATCACAGGATTTCTGTACAGCTACAATGTTAGAATGACGTCGTAGTACCACTGCAGTCTGCCCACGTTTGGCTAGTCATTGGCCAGGTCACAACAAAGCAGAGTCGTTACTTGAAACGTAGAATGCCCAATGTGCGAAATATTGGCAAAGTTATTTATTTGGTGCAGCTGAAAGCCTGTTGCCGGAATGGCGGTGTTTTCAAGTACAATGTAAATGCAAATCAATATCACTTTCTAGGGCAGTGGATGATACAATAATTAAAGTAATAATTTTGCCAGTTAGGTGTAGACCGTCAGTACCGTTGGTCAGTGTCGTGCGATGTTATCGCATGAGCTGATTGTAAAGTGACTGGTGGTGTTAGTGGATATTATTCTAGCAGCGTGACTTGTAGCTCTTTGGTCCTCCTTTCTTCTTATAAAATAATTTTCTGTTCCGGATTTCCCCAGGCCGTGGCCTATCGGGGATCTTAAAATTATGTGAGGCACTAACAGTATTGTACACTCATGTACATGCTGATAAATACTAATTTTCATTTAATAATAGACCGCCTTCTTCGTTGCAATCTTAAATGTGTTGTTCCCTCGCCAATTAGTTCGATTAGATGGTCCTTTCACTTTAGAGAGATGAAGGTCATGGAGCTTCAGGGGCTTAATACGGACGGTGTTCTGAGAGCACAAGAACTCATGCACTGTAAACTGAACCAAAGGCTTTGCCAGTGGCAAAGGAACCATCAACATGGTAGGTTGCAGGTGGGCAAGGGTGAATTCGTCTCCCTAGAAATTTTTGTTTTTGTTTTTCAAGAACGTGGGCAGCAAAAGGAACTACAAGCAGAAGAAGAACTTACAATGTGGGTAGTTTTCTTTGGTACTTCATGGCCCTTAGGATTCATTCTGTTGGAAATGGATTTAGTCCTTCAGAGCTCCTAATAACTTTGAATATGCAGAGAGTGGCTTCTCGTGAATGCGCTCCCCGGTACAATTCTGGACTAACATTATAGCCAATTTCTATCAATAAAGTTTAGGTATCGTCTAAGGAGATCTAGTGGAAAGTCAAAGGCATACATAACTCCACCTACCCCTCCCCAAACACCACACACACACACACACACATGCACATACACACATGCACATACACACAAACACAAACACACATCCATTCAGCAGTCAAACCCCTTTTCAAACCCCTTTTCAAAACTTTCAAAATGTTCAAGAGCCTGAAGTGTGTCCCAATCAAACCCCTTTTCTTGATACAAAGCATAACTGCTCTTCCAAGGATCCCGCATGGAATAATTATGACTATGCGAATACTACTATACGTAAACATATCTTTTTACTAGACATGCGTCAGATTCAGTAATAGGACTGAGTATCAAAAATATCAAAATTCATTGTAGAACGTCCTCGTGAGCTACAAAACCTAATGCGTAACTGAAGTGAGGCGATTGATAACTCTATTCTTTTTTTACACGTACATGTACTGTACATGTTTGTAGCAAGGCAAGTACTCTTGAGAGTTGAGTGATCATACTACTGTAGCCATGTGCATGTACATAATACATGTACATGTACGTCCATATTATACTTGACCAAACGGAGCACTGGATGACTAGGGTATGCAGCCGGCTTGAATCGTCATGATACATGTACTGTACTACTCAATGGATCCGGCCTGCACTACACTACTACAGTTCTGTATCAGATTGGTGCTGTGAGTTCGTACTTGGGACTCAACAAAGAACACTAGTTAGACTTCGACTTCGAGCTATTAACTGTGGTACATAGGCAAGTGGAGGCTGCGTGTTGGTGTTAGAATCCTGTGGCTAAGACAAGAAAGGTGAACAGGATCGGTGCAAATCATGGGGAAGTTTGAAGCCAGCAGTATTCGTGCTTGCCTGGTCTCATATGTAGTAGTAGTAGTAGTAGTAGTAGTAGTAGTAGTAGTAGTAGTAGTAGTAGTAGTAGTAGTAGTAGCAGTTTGTATTATTTTACTAGGGGAGTCCCAACAGGCTACTGCTTTTTTACTGGGAATCATATGATGGTGATGTAATTCCAACTTCATACACAACACATTTCCACTAACACACTGTCACACAGACTCACGCCCCTCCCCCCCCCCCCCCCCCTCCAATGCAGGAAAGTGTACCAGGTTCTTAGTGCCTGTAACACTGTGACTCAGCCAGCACAGACGTACCCCCCCCCCCCACCCCCAGCGCAACAGTAAAGTGTGCCAGGTTTTTCTTGCCGGTAACAACTCAGCCAGCATAGACGTACCCCCTTGGAGGTATTTCGTATCCCTACATACTTTGATATTTCAAATTCGGACTTCACGGAGAATTTCAAAGTATTAGGAAATTAGAGGCCACATGCCACGTACTGCTCTTTTCTCTCCGAAACACGTTTGGGCTCTCCGCCCTCTCCGTGAAATAAAAAGAAAAACAACCAACAGCACAAAGGTCCACACTCCAGCTCTCCACCTTCTCCACGAACAAAATTAGGTATTGTATACATTATCAGAGCAAGTGGTTCCACTCTATACCACAGTAGATACAATAAAAAAATCCACGGTTCGTGTGAGACTCGGCTGGAAACCGTGCTTTCCACATCCGCTTGAACGCCACCACCCTCTTGGATCAAGGCGCAGATGCAGCTCCTAATGCAGAGGGAGGTGAGTAAATCAGACCCACCACGAAGTACATGTAGTCAAAGACCGAAAATCCCATTCACTGCATCAATGTTTCCCTCGTGCCAGGCCACAAGTTTCCAAGTAACTGCGGGTCGCAGCACGGCTGGAAAAAATCCTACCGCTTTGAAGCAGGACTTGAATCCGGCACCCTCTGTTTCTCAATCACAGTCTTAGACCATCCTATTATGCCTGCCTCATACTATAAGCAAAATTAAATTATTGTGTCCGTTCCCGAACTCACGACGGCCCCTAACACACGGTGAACCCTGGCGGTAGATGCAGCGCCTGACGGTGGGAGTGAGGGGATAAGTCTCACAACAACTGGCACAAGTGCAGAGAAACCCCATCAGCCGCATCCATGCAGGTACTGTACAGCTACTGTAAGTAAAGTAGAAAATAAAAATGAAAATAAAAAAATTAATTATCGTGTCCGTTGCCAAAGGGAACTCACGACGGCCACTAACACCCGGTGAACTACTACCGTAGAGGCCATGAGACACAAAAGCGACCTTGAAACTTGCCCAGGCATGGCCCGGGCACCGAAAACACGCTGGTCAGGATGTATATGCCATCGGTAATGCACAAAAGACACGATCGCCACGTTTGTCACGACGACCCTGTGACCAGCAAATTGCATAGACAGAGGTGGACTCCCTTGCCTCTTTCGCATCCCGAATGACGGCCAACAGCCAGGAGCATGCCAGTACACACAAACATGCAGCACGGATGACATACATGTACTTGCGATACGAATATGAGCTGGCGCAGACGAAAAGCATCGAGTGAGGAAAATCCCCGTCCTTGTGCAAAGACACAACACCACTGACTTAGCCCTCTTGAGGGAGCAGGTCTTAGCTGCCCCCGCCCCCCCCCCCCCCCCCCCCAGAATAGTGACCTATTACAGGACTACCGCATGCTTAAGTCGTTTGACAGCCATGCAATATCTGCAGGAGCTAAGTAAAGAGTCCGAGCTCCTCTCCTGCAAGCGCCGGCCACATACACCGTGGTCTTCAAGTATCAGCAATATTGAGTTTTGATACAGACATGACATGACATGTATGTACGCCCAAACTCGAAAATCATGGCTACACTAGTACACGATGGGCAGAATGCACCTAATTTGACAAGCTAAGCAACAGCAAAACTACAGCTAAAGTATGGAAAGCAACTGACAGATCGCATCACTGCTCGACTATGTGGACAACGTTCATCTGCATTCAAACAATGCCGTATTTCCAAAATAACCTACGAGCTAACGGCATTTGTTACTTAGTAACTGTTTAGGTTTTCGTCATCACATTGATAAGGCAGTTTCACTGGCAACACTGTGCAATGGCACAGACCATGTGGAATAAGAAATTTACTGAACGCTAAAAAACGTATAGTGACACCGGGTTTTCCGGAAACCTGGCTCGTAGAGAATGCGGCTTGTAATCCCCATAATGTTGGCTCCGTGTTCATGTAACTTTCTATAAAGGGTGCCCTACACCGGATGACTGTGAGCGTTATAGATCACCACACAGGCACTAATCACGCAGTAGGTCTTCACCATACGTACCATTAATGCACCGGAGAGCTCTCTGACGGCGATGCTCCACGGCTCTCGATTACAGCTTGGCAGCTATGCGCACCGGGCTTGGTTCCTTAGCAACCGTATCCCTGGTGACTGTGCACTGGATGGTACCGTGCGGCTCGCTGGTTGCCATGTAGACGTCGTCACGGAACGGCATCCCCAGGGCGGGCATGTTGTACGGGATGAAGTGGATGTTGGGCAGGTTCAGCTCAATCGACTCGAGGCCGGGGTAGCTGGAAATCGCCGCCTTGCCCATCTGATACATGGTGAACTGCAGTGATGGGCTGTACGTACCACTCTTAGGTGGTCCGTAGAATTGACTCTTCATCGCCGCCAGTACACGAGTGTACGCGGCATCGAAGTCATGTCGCTTGCCCTGTTCGTAACGCCAGTACGCAGTCACGGATGTGCCCAGCAAGCGTTCGCGTGTCTCCGGCAGTGCAGTGCTGTCGCAGCGTCGAAATCCCTCGAACCCGCTCTGCGTCGTCTTCAGCACGGTCAGGCCGTCAATGGCTCCGAACACCACCGGCCTGTTCTCCTCTCGCCGCTTCATCAGCACGTAAGCACCACGCCGAGCTGGCTCCACGCGCATGAATCCATGATTGTGCGGAACTGCGGATTCGCTGGCCACGCGCTGCCAGTCCACTTCAAATACCTCTACTTGAACAGCAGTCACCAGCGGGAACGACTTTAGGAAATTCTCCCCGATGCTCAACGCGTACACCTCGGGTCCGCACGGCTCGGCGAGTTGCTTGGCCACGCGAAAGCACATGTTCTTGCACGTGTCCGTGGTGGTCATTCCTGAATTATCGCCCTCAGTAAACGCTCTCTCCATTGGACTTGCTATGAGTACCTCTACCGTCCACTCGCGCATCTCCTGTTTTCCATCGTTGGCTCTCCACACACGTGCCACTCGCACGCGCGTCTTCCCATGACGGTGGTTGGTCAATGTCGCCCCGATTTTGCTCGCCATTTCAGTTGCCACCAATATAATTATTGGATATTTCGACTGGTTTCCAAGATACTGCGTCTCGCACCCGGCAAGGTACGGAGAAGGGGACTTGATCTTGAAGGCTCACAACAGAACTGCTCCACGTAATGTCCTGGTGAGCAAGTAAATAATCGGTCGCCTAACGTTCAGCTAGCGACGCACTGAGTAGGACTCTCAAAACCAAACATTTACTAGTGGTTGTTTTGGACAGCAAAAATCAGGAATTTTTGGTGAGGGTGAAAAGGTGGATCTGGTGCATGAATGAGTATGCAGCTGATGACGATTTTATTTCGCATGTAGATCTATGACACAGCCTGGAGTGGTAGAGACTAAGAGAGTCCTGGTAGAGAGTCTACGTACAGACCGGGACATGTCGACAGTACAGGACAGTCATGTACTAGTAAAAGGTCATGTTCAGTACTGTACTTCAAAAAGTCGTGTCGTTCATGTCTCTGTTGACGTGTCGATATGAATGAAGCTGTCAAAGCCTAGCGATAAAATCAATGTACATAAAGTCATTTATTAATATGCAGGGTAGTTAGTCTGGCTGGCGAGAGGGTGGTGAACTACTTACTTGTACTACTAAAAATATTATACTTAGTAGCCATAGACACAGATGACCGCCCAGCCGTGCTTAGCATCGTCTAGCTCCCCCCCCCCCTCCCCCCCCCCCCCCCTGAACTCTAGTCTTTTTTAGTTAGGTCAGGAACACTGCTCCCAGCACGGCGCGTCCTCCGCCTTCTTTCCTGCCGTTTCCCTCAAAACGTAGACCATTATTCGTAGAACATTGCGGGTGTAATTGCCATGGTTGACACATAGTCTATCGTCCTAATAATATTATAATAAATTATAATTATTATAATGCAGGCCTGATAAAAAAAATTAAAAATTAAAAATTAAAAAATTATGCAGGCCTGCTCTACTTGTGTTCCTCACTGAGTGGTGGGTGCAATGTTAGAATGTAGAACCGGAATGTCTAAATGTTACTACTTCAAGTAGTAGAGTCATGTATAATGATTACTGATTTCAGTTGCTACATGTAGGTGATCGTGATTACGTGAAACCCGGAGTTGCAACACACATACACTCTCTCTCTCTCTCTCTCTCTCTCTCTCTCTCTCTCTCTCTCTCTCTCTCTCTCTCTCTCTCTCTCTCTCTCTCTCTCTCTCTCTCTCTCTCTCTCTCTCTCTCTCTCTCTCTCGCTCTCTCTCTTTCTGTCCGTCTCTCTTTCTCTCTCTGTCCGTCTCTCTCTCTCTCTCTGTCCGTCTCTCTCTCTCTCGCGATTGCAAGACGTCTGTTATACGTTTGGAACTGCTATCATGTGCTATTGCTATCAGGCTCGGTCTATTTTGCTCTGTGCTGCTCTGATGAACTCACAAAGAACAAAATATCCAGGTATCAGGCACTCTCTACCGGAGCTCCTGATGGCTCTACTCCCGAAAGAACGGTAAACGAAACAGCATGCTCTCCGGAGATTGAGTACGTTTTGAAACTGGTGTGTTTGCCTACAGGATATCTATCTACCTACGGTATATACCGTTGACAACTTGATACTTCTACTGGTCTTACAGAACATGAAAATGGACTGTTTTATCCAAGTGAACCACTATTACTAAAGTTGATCATTGATTTTTAGAGCCCCGTTATAGATCCTCATTCTCTAGCCTAGGAGATACCTACATCTGCTTTGTCTCAGTGTCCAGGATAGGTGAACGTGTGGATGAAGCATTCAAATGCTTTGTTGACACTGCCACGGGAATTCGCATAATAATAGTAATACAAGAGAGCGAGAGGAAGCTGGGTGGCAACTTCGAGTTTCACGTAGTCAAGCTAGTACTTGGAATAATAACTACTTCGCTAGGATAATGATCAGCTGTGGGTATATTCATGTACTACAAGTAGTAAAGACAAAAGCAATGATATCAAGGCAAGGCTCCTTGACGGTTGGAGAGAAGAGAGACGCAGGATGACAGAGAGAGTGTGTTAGAGAGAGAAACTAGGACTGAGACTTTGGAGCAGTGGGGCAATTGATCGCAAGGGAGAACACCGAAATCAACCTTGTCAGCAAGCAGCAGCATAGTGGCATGGCGCAACGACGTTGCATATCGGAGCTTCGAGCTTCGATATAACAGTGTATACCAACCCGAAATCGGGTTTTCCTTTGCTCGAGATAGCTGTTAAATCTCCGCTCTCCGCTCCTCATACAATCCCCACTTCACATCACAATGCATCATTGCTTGTGAAATGGGTAATTACATGCTGTGCTCCTTCAGCCGTAACGGGGCTCACAAAAGTCGGAGTAGGAGTACTAGCACTGTACACTTACATGATTGTACATAATTATACATGTACATGAATATTATCCTTCACTTCCAGAATCCTGAAGGACGCATCACGCAACGTGAGTGCTAGTGTGAGCCAGGGTTCCTCACAATCCACTTTTCAACTTACAATGTACTTCAACTGAGTGTTCTTTTTATTGCCGAATTTGGGCTGCTTTTTGCTTTGGAGTTTGGTTCTTACTTTACGCTTCCACGCAATGGGCCATTTGAATAAACCCGTTCACAAATAGAGCCATTAATTTATTTCATTAGCCCGCTAGGATATATTTGGTGTCGATTTCCTGAACTAAGACCAACCTAGCTAGAGTGCTAGAGAAACTCACATCTCAAGTAGATGTGAAACATGATGCTGGCGACGGAATGTATTAGGGGCTGTGAAAGTCGTGCCTAAAGCCTGTAAAGGCGAGCGGAAAGCATAGGGCAAACTTTGAACGTTACATCAGCCGATAAAGAGCCTTGCGAGATTTGCCAGCGACAATTTACTATTAGTTGGGTAAGTCCGACTTGAGCCACAGCAGCGTGCATTGCTAAGCGGCGAAGTTGGCCGCAAATTAAAGAGTACCCGGTGTCCAATGGCAATGGCAATGGCAGCACTACACTGATACGGAGCCCACCCAGCTGCGGTATACATGCACAACATGTACAATCCTATTACCAGAGTACGTAAGCTGTGTATAAATACTAGTATTCCGTGATTCACAACAACCGCACTGACGTTCACTAGCATGATCCGGGCAGTGAAACCCCAGCTGAGGCACATGTACATGTACATGACACACGGAAGAGAACAGTCTACTAACCCTAAAAAGCTGGAGGCTGGTTTTCTGGAACCGTGAACGCAACCCGGAGGGTCATGCACACCGGTACGCGGTGACGCCATACCCGGTCGGACCCGGGCATTCCTTCTGGAGCCCGGCACAGGCCAGACCAGAACACAAACATTTCGCAGCACCTTCGTGAGTCAAAGTTCTCCAGTCAATATGGTGCGACTGGCAGTACAGCTCTCAACGTGAACACACTTCTCAAAGGGCTTACCACATCAGCCATATCAACTTTTGTGGTGTGTATGTGTGCAGCCGTTGCTTGTTGATAATATCGCACCGCCTGTGCAGCGTTATCTACCAATGCCTAGCGCAGGAATGCGCAACGCGAGCATTACCCAGGTACACGCACTGGTGAAGAGCATGAGCAGATGTCCGTTGGCCCAGACGTTATCTACTCAGGAATAGCGAACCGCAGTTCAACGCTATCCGTCCACAAGTACAGGTCCCTCGGGGGGCACTGTGCCCCAGTATCCCAGCGAGCTAATTGAAGGCCGTCAACTAAGTTAGCGGCCGCAGGGGGCGTTTGTTTGCCTATAGCTTTGCGTCAGTGTGGGCTAACCAACAGCTAATTTACACTCTGCGCGAACAAAAGACCGCTTGCTGAAAGGAACATCAATTAGTTACCAGATACTGGAAAGCTGACAGAGGCGCGTTGAGTCGTAAGAGGAAAAACGTGCCCTTGATTCAATTACCCTTTCACAGCGCAGCCCAAGTAAACAATGTAACATTCTATATTGGGACCCGCGCGGATGGCTCACCCATCGAGCTGACGGCCATCTGCATGGTGTTATCTGCATGGTGTTGCCCATCAACGTTGGCGGGACGGCCTGCAGGGACATGCAAGCCAATATGCTAATGTACATGTACATCGCAACTTGACCAAGGTAGAATCGTGATGTACACGCCCTCGACCTGACCATCCGGGACATACGACGATTTGGTACGGACAGGCACCTATACGGTGCCAGAAAGCACAATCACCATTACATCACCGCATCAGCTTCATTGTTCACGCTGTATTTGGCCTTATGTAACTATAAGGCTGCAACGACAACTGCACCTCAGCCTGAAGGCACAGGATGTGGATCACGTAACCATTAAGTTTCTTCTGTCCGTCAGAGAGTAGGGGTACGACCGTCTCTGGTGAGGATCTGTGCTGGTGCAGTGTGCCTAGTATACGGCCGTGCCTGGAAGAACTCGGAAACGGTCTGTTTTCCTTGTAAATGCTGCAAGAGGCTCTTAAGTGCGAAATGTGAGAGCGAGCAATTACGCCATTGTTCTCCGCCACGACCACCCATGAGGTACTTCTGAGATACCAGCAGGAACAGCAATCAATATGCACACTGCCACTATACATGTACATGTACGTGGAGAAGAGATCTTACGTGTATATGTACATGTAGAAGAGATCTTGATGTACATGTACATGTACGTGGAGAAGAGATATTACGTGTACATGTACGTGGAGAAGAGATCTCACATGTACATGTACATGTAGAAGAGATCTTGATGTACATGTACATGTACGTGGAGAACAGATCTCACATGTACATGTACGTGTGCTGGTACTGAAGTATGTGAAGCGTTACAATCATGATAGAGTGAATGACTGTACAATGTACTGGAGTTGTTATCACGACTCCCAATCGTTATCCTTTACGTTTCTCTATTCTCTTGGCACATTTGGGGTGCATTAAGTTGGATTTCTCTGGCCAGCACTGCACATGTACTGTCAACCAAACAATCTACCTACATTGTACATGTATACATGTACATGATGTATAGGGCTGTGGACGCATTCGGCATGTACATGTGCATGTATTGCGCTCGTGGTCGCAGGAATCACTGAATTATTTAATTGCATGGTACGTAAACAAAACTGGACCTGGAAACATTGCTACATTGCTATTTTTCGCTGATGATCGTGCGCAGCCAGTTCTATAAAAAAAACTTTACAACTACAAGAAAGCAGCAGTCGAGATATGATTCAAACCATATCTTTTGGCATTCATCAGGAATCAATCACCACCGCGGGGTGCAACTGAAACAGAATCAGATTCAGAGGCCATTCATGCCACTATGAATGTACAATCATGTACATGTAATCAGATAGATGACAGATAGAGAAATATTAGCACTTAGTACGCCTGCTACCTCTCAGCGAGAGATCTCTCTTCTACAATTCATTCTACATGTACGTGTATGTGTATGTGTATACATGTACATGTACATGTAACAGGGCTTTATTTTTTCTAGCCAGTCATTATTCTCAACCTTCACTGATCAGACCTATAGTGGTTGAAACAGCGCTGTATGTAGGAAATTTTATAATATGTCAGTATCTACGACTTGGAGTCATGTTGCTGGTGTGATCCGGTCGGCCAGAGAGCGCATGTGGTGGAGGTGCAATTGCTTCAAAGGGAAATACTATTAAAGGGCGATAAATAACGGAAACGAGGTTTAAAAACATTCTTAGCCCTGCGAGAATCGGTAAAAAATTGAATCGGTCTTCGTAACACGAGACCTACATGCATACATGTACTTCAGTCCATGACTGTAGATAATTATAATGTATCTTGTTAGTACTCGGGTGGACAGCAAGGGAATAATTTATAAGAAGAAAAGAGGACCAATGAGCTACAAGTATTAGTTACGTTATAATATCCACTAACACCATTTACTTTACAATCAGCTCATACGACTTTGCAAAAGACACTTTTGGACGGTTCTGAGTCAACGTCTGACGTTCTACACCTCACTAGCAATCAGCTCTATCCTTGAATGGTGGTTTGACCGTTTTGTCTGATGGTCTTACCAGTATCGTCCTAGACATACATGTACATGTACATCCGCCAACGTCCTTCACAGCTGCGACTTTCAGCTCGTGCTTGTCTGGGCTGCGCTCACCTTCCCCTCTTTATGTTATTTCTAAGCTCAGAACCTTCCAAATTGGAGGGCTGTTGGAGTGCGCATCCAAGATGTGCTAGAGCTGATTGCTACAGTGCTGGCAACTGAAATCTGACCCCCTGAGCGGTGGGTTCACATTTTAGCGCCTTCTGTTTCGTAGGTTTATTGTCCAGTGTTGGGTCTTTGCGATGTGAGCGCACCGCTCAGGGGGTCGGATTTCAGTTGCCAGCACTGTAGTTAGGTGTAGAACGTCAGTACCGTCCAATCAGTGTCGTGCGTTGTTATCGTATGAGCTGATTCTAAAGTAGCTGTTGGTGTTAGTGGATATTATAGCGTAACTTTTAGCACTTAATTTATCTGATTATGGGTAATTTATCTGATTATAAACGTATTTTGATTATGTTTCATTTTTACCCCGCAGGGGTGATTGATTCTTGATGAATGCCACAAGAAATGTTTGAGTCATAATCTCGACTGCTGCTTTGTGACTGCTGATGATCACGTTTATCTGTTTCATTTCAATACTTCGATATTTTCTAGTGAAATAGGAGAAGGACAAAATGTTACGAGTTATGACTAACTGTCCACCAACGTAACCAAATCTTATACAGTCAGCGAGTGCGACAAAATGGCACAAACATTGTCAGTTTTGCCTTCTCCTATTTTACTATAATTTTAATTGGCTCACCAGCCGAGTCGATATTTTCTCCTCGCCGAATATTATGATTGTTATATTCCACTGGATACGTGTGCAACAACAACTTTGTCGTCAACGGCAGGAGTACCAGCGAAGGAACCTCGCACGGCGTGCAGGCAGTGTAGTGAATGCCCAACGGCCCTCTGGTACTGTCGCGTCGTCTGGCTTTCCGTTTGTCTCACCTGATTTGCTCGTCACTATGGAACCAGTTATTTCAATCTATCATTATGAGTGTACATGTACATGTACATGTATATGTGTGGCAACATACTCCAGTCAATAGTGCGAACTTCTGATACTGTAATGGAGTGTCTGTTTCACGTGCTTGTCTAGATTCTAGTGCCAGCAGTATGCAACTCCCAGCAGCACTTTGCGTTTCGTTATCATCTTTAGAATTTTTGTCACCCTCGACTTCTTTAGGTATGCCACTTTTCTAAGCAGAAAGTGCGCAAGTGTGCCACTTTTACCCTATAGATAATATACTCATTCCCTTTATTCATGCGCTATCTTCCTCCACTGATGACCTCTCAATGAGCGAAACATCTATCTGGAGGATATGGAGCATCTATCCAAGAATGAACTTCCTCGCTATGGTGTTTTGAATGAGGGCGAAGAGCGCAGTGTGGAGGGGAGGACAGTTTCAAGTTCTTTTCCAGTTTTACATGAAAATAGTCAAAGCGCCTACTACAACTACATGTCCATTGTAAATGGACATGATACGATTTCCACGTTCTCTAGACAGGTCGTTTCGACTATTTTTCAGTGGAGCTCAGAGTCAGTGGTGAAACTGCTGGCAAGAAAGTCTAGGAACCAAGTCATACATGTACTTGTAGATGTACTGATTGTAGGCGACCCATGCACCGTGTACACTGTGATTGGTACACAATGGGGTCCTAGCTCCATACAGGTAGATCAGTGGATGACCAAACAGAGAACACCTTGCTAATAAGGACTCGCGATCCTGTATTCAAGCGAAGGGGGTCTCTGGTTCGAGTCCTGGTAGTGAAAGTTCATTTTTTCTTCAGACTTTTCCCGTTTGCATCTTTCCCTCAAACCATGAATATGTTACAGTGATCGTTACAAATACTGGAGCAGTCGTGCTCTACGCTTGCGGTCATCGCTCTGTACTCTGACGCTTGTAGAGTGAGTCCTGTGTGTGCATGTGTCGGACCCAGTACCAAGCTGAATCCTATAATTATTGACCTGACGAATAATTGTCATGCACCACAGTGCTATGGGTAGAACGTGTATCCCTGGATCAGGCGGACTCCTATCATATCAGAACCTTTTCCGCTGCGACTACACATTGTCATGAGTACGCCAGACACAGAAGCTGTAGTGCAGAGCTTGAGAAGGTGTTTCCACGTTCTTGGAGAACAATGGAGACCATTGAAAACGGTCTGCGGTATATACACCTTCTTGTGCGGAACAATGAGCTGTCACAGTGGGCTAATTTAAATAAACACAATGGGAAAAAGCACAGAAACAAGCACGCTGAGCAGACCAGCGCAGTGGATGGGCCCAAACACCAAGTGCGTCGCATCCAACCTGCCAGTCGACAGCCACCAGAACGCGAGACCGTGCACAGTACGAAAGTGTTCCGAAGAGCGTCCAGGCGCCGTGATGCTGGGCGTGTTAGTGGCAATACTAGTGCAAATGCTGGAGCTGCAGCCGTGAAGGCGTGCTGACATCACCACAGCGACATGTGCGCCTGTGTACATCACCTGTGTGTCAGCGCCTGGGCTCTGGCACACAGCAATCTGGAGCACAAACCTCCTTCTACATGTTGTACCTGCAGTAGCACCCTCCCCGCTGCAACCCGGCCGTCGAGGCCGGGGTGATTTTGATGATGCGCCTCAACCCCCAAACTTCCAACAGAAGCAGCTCTGAGCTCGGTTGGGTGCAATGCTCGAACACACCACATGACCTGCGATATTCGCGACCCACATTCAGTCACAGATTGTCAGCTTTTGAAACGCAGCCAGGTAATGCAGTTGGCATCTAATGGACCGCATTACAAGACGAGTAATTATTTCGTATCCTGGGCGAGTGTCTGCTTGTCCTTGTCTTGCATTTTCCACACTGGTGCTTGCAGTCGTGAACATCTAAAGTGCGCAGCGTGTGGAGAAGCCGCTGGTCAACCGGAGGGCAAGGTCTTCGTGTTCGATGGCAAGCTAAACTACATCGACACGGACAGAATTGAAGGGTGTTACAACGAAAGTGGTGAGGCAGTTGACGATAGCCCTGGACTGATCGTCTGTCACGAGGACTGCTTCTCCTGCGCCAAGTGTAATCAGCGGCAGACCAAAGGAGCGCTGGTCAGGTTGGTGATAATGAGTGGTATATGTGCGTGTGCGTGTATGTGTGTGTGTATATGTATGCTTGTGTGTGTGTGTGTGTGTGTGTGTGTGCGCGCGCGCGTTTGTGGGTGATTGTATGTTTGTGTGTGTGTGTGTGTGTGTGTGTGTGTGTGTTTGTGTGTGTGTGTGTGTGTGTGTGTGTGTGGGCGCGCGTTTGCGTGTGTGTTTGCCAACCTGTCGGAAGGCTACCTTCTTGGCAAATCATTTGGAAGTTGGAGTGGCTTCGGCTCCACAATCCAGTGTTGCGTTACTATGATGCTTTCATGGCTGAGGTTGTCGGTATGTCTGTTGGTCCTGGGTGCCGAGTACTGTACTCAGTTGCCCAGTCCGGTTGGAAAAGTAACTGCAATTTCACTTCAAGGTAGTACCAGTGGATCTAATGCTTGCTAACTAGTATATGAAAGCACGGTGCTGCCGATACTGGTTACCCCAGCACGTGTAGGGTGTGCATAGGCTCTAGCACCGAGATTCCCAGTGGTCCCGCCAAGCTAAAGGAAGCATAGGAAACCGGAAGCAATGCTAGGCGTTTTACATCATAAGAACTAAACCAGTGTCGCTATTAGCACTCTGTGTGTGGATTCAGCCATGGCTGCTGCTGGACCTTAACTAGAACAGGTCTAGTAGTAATGGGTCGTAGCCTGGTGTCTGTGTCAATAGTGATCATTTCTAAAACTGCGAAAGGTACCATTCGGCTGTTGAATAATGCAACAAACTACCTCTCCTCCTCCATGCGCTCTAACATTTTACCCATGACCCCTTCGTTGTTTGAAATTATTTGCGCGAGTAATGGCTACCGAGGGTGGCAATGGTCGGATTTAGAGCGCATGGAGGAGGAGAGTTAGGTTTTTGTGATCATTTCTGCTCAAGTGTCCAAATTGTCCGGGCCGCCTGAATTCCTAGTGCTATTGGCCAGTAACAAAGTATTTGCATCGAACAGATATGTAGAGAACATAGAATGGATGAGTTACACCCAAACATTGTAGAATTCCCACGAAAACTTGGCAATATTCCAGAACCAACATATCATCAGTCTTGAAAGGAGCACCACGAGACTTCAGCAATTAATGAATCCTGAATCATGAATCATGCCTGCACACTCATTGCGTCATGGCTATAGCATCTAGTAAACTAGATTTGCATGTATGCAATTGCTGGTGATAATATGTCCACTCCCAGGAGACCCATCTGGGACTGGGTACCTGATTTCTGCAGGGGAGAAAAATGACGAAGGAGTGGAGATTGACATCACCTTCACTACGTTGTCTGTCTAGCTCTGTGAAACAGGAGGTCTCTACCACCTACTGGCCCTAAGTGGAGAATTGACTATGGGCTACTTTCACCTTTATCTTTAATCTGTAGGCGGGATACCCAATATAAGTTTGCAAGTAGGTGTGTGCAATTATATTATGTGCATTTTGAATTATAGCCTGTAGGTGGGGACACACACACACTCAAACACACAGCGACTATAATGTTGAATGAGTTTACTCCATTGAGTTGGGGCAAGAGATCTTATGGCAACTGGCTATAGTTAATCGCGCCTCTCCTTTTCACGCTTTCCCTCCCTTGCACAATCTCTCTCTGGCTTTGCCTCTCTCTCTGTCCCTCTCTGTATCTCTCTCTCTCTCTCTCTCTCTCTCCGTCTTTCTCTCTGTCTGTCTATCTCTGTCTCTCTCTCTTCGTCTCTCTGTCTCTCTCTCTTTTTATTTACTCAATCTGCGGACAGCATGCTGTTTCGTTCTTTTTGAACTCATCAGCGCAGCACAGAGAAAATGAGGCCGAACCTGATAGCAATGGAAATAAAAATTTCCAATCAGGCCCGAACGTACCTTGCCAGAGTGCTCAAACTGACAAGTCAGTGAGCTCTCTCTTTTTATTTATGTATGTGTTTGTCTCTCCCTCTCTTTCTCTTTTTCTCTCACTTATTCTCTCTCTTCATTTCCCTCTATGTCTCTATTATCTCTCGGTCTCTCTCTTACTGCAGATTCGATCAAAACGGCAAAGTGACCTGCTATCCGTGCGGCTGTAGACATTCAGAGAAGGTTGTGGAGATGGGAAGGAAAGGTCACATGCCATCAACCGGCCCACCAGTCACCACACAAGGACTCAGTACTCACAGCTCCATGTCTGACCTCAGCAGCTCCACAGCAACCGCTAGGCAGCCAAAAGCCGAAACACCAAGTGAGCAGCATGCTTGTTGATACCCTGCTTCAAAGGGAAGTTACCACACATTCTGGGGACACCCAAACCCCTCCCCTCCCACTGCATTTAAACCTGTATTTCCTGCGTTTATCGTGTGAACCGGTGTCTTATCTCCACCACCCTCCACTCCCAACCCCCTCCCTCACTGTGAGTCCCTGGAGAAGGTATGTCCCATTCAAGTTTGCATGTTTTGTATTGCAATGCTAGTCCAAGGCAGGGTACATCGGAGGCCAAGTTTCCCCAAACAGAACACTGCCCTCTCAACTGCAGTAAATGCTGAGCTCAGCTTGGGGCAAGAAACTCGGTTCAATTGCAATGTCAACTGTTCAAGCCTCTATACACACCCACAAGTGTAGCAAGGTGGTGGATTATTCAAGAAGAGTTTTGTATGACCAATGTGGCCGGCACATTGCTTTTAAAGAAACGCTATAATTATTACTTTCTACTGTTCCCTGTCGTCAGGCGGTGGCATCCTGAGGCATATGTCTGCAGACTCAAGACAATCTAGCTCAGCAGGGCGGAGGAGTTCCAGTGAGGAACGTCCAGGGGACTCCGTAAGTGCGAAAGGTACGAATATCATTCCGTGTCTACTCCAGGGGCTGGTCAGCCGAGTCAGCCATCCGCCTGGTGGCACTTGGATCTGTTTGGAAAAGGAAACCCGGGTCACTTGCAACCAGCTAGGCAGTATGCAATCTTATATATGTAGGACTCAGTATAGAGTCCATGCACTATAATTATGATGTCCAGCACCCTATATAGAGTCCATTGGTCCAAAATCCACTATACAGAGTCCAGGAGTCCACTCAGTTTTGATCAGCTTCATCCTGCCGCGCAATCCCCTATAAGGAGTACACTTTTTCTACAAGTCCCCTATTCACGGTCCAGGAGTCCAGTCGATCCAGTCACGCCGTCCTGTGAGTTGTGCCCAAAAGAGAACAAACACCTTTTCAGTTTTGCTTGCCTCTTGGCAGCGCATTCCTTTCTTCACTTCAGCCATGGCTGCCAGTTCTGCTGTGCAGTTGCTGACAGTAATCTCTCTCGAGGTAACCAAGGAGGATAAGAAGACGTTCAAAATCAAATCTGGAAAGCGTCTTGTGGTTCTCGGAAGACGTTTCATCAGTGCGCGGGATGAAAGCAGAAATGAAATTGCAGAACGAGAAAAGTTCAGCACAGTTCAAATCTGACCAGTCAGGTACACCGACACTCTCTTTCGTTCGACGCCACAAGGATCCCTGTTTGGCTGGCCATTGCTGCCAGTAAGACGTTTGAATGGTTTCATCAGAGCGAGGGATGAAAGCAGAAAGCGGAGAACGAGAAAAGTTCAGCACAGTTCCAATCTGACGAGTCAGATACACTGACACTCTCTTTCGTTCGACGCCACAAGGATATCCTGTTTGTCTGGACAAGAGCTGCCTGTACCCCCGTGTCAAAAGGCTGTCCAACTACATGGCAGGACGATGACTGAGGTAAGGAAGCTTTTACTCGTTTCGATTGGTCTGCTGTTCTGTCGTAATAATGCTTATCACTCCCTTAGTATTGACTCACATAGATTTTTGCCATACCTAAGCAGTCAAATATTCCTGCATATGTCACTCCTTAGGGCTATATTGACTGCTTATATTTGACTGCTTAGGGGTTGCCCAGTTGAACAGTGCCTAGTGCAGCATTGTCAGTGTCACTGCATGAGTAGGTGGTGGTGCAACGGTTGTGCAATCGTAAAACCGGGATTCATGAGGTTATCGTTCTGGAATTTGAAATACGGACTGTTTGTCGTGATAAATCTAATATTGACTTCGTACTTGGTCAGTATAGGAAATAAAAACCTCGTAAAAGACCTCGGCTTCGCCTCGGTCCTTTACTCGGCTTTTATTTCCTATATTGACCTCGTACTCAGTCAATATTAGATACTTATTTTTTCCATTTTCAAGGAGCGTATCGCGTTTGTTTGATGTTGCTTGAATGAATGCCCTAAAAGTAATCAACCACTTCGTAATAGTCCTCAAGGACTGCAAGGACTTTGCATCAATCGTATACAATCGTCTAGCTATCATCAATTATTATTTTATTTCATGAGAAATATATTTTTATCCCTAGGCCAAACTAAAGAAGGTGTGTGGTTCGACTAACATGGACATTTTTTTTACGGGCGGGCGGGCGGATTTTTTTTTTTTTATATATTTTTTAGTACATGTAAATACACTGTATACGCGTATCGAGTAGACTCTACTACCAGCACAAGGCAGCAGTCGTACCACTCACTGCACTGCACTGCAGTACAACTACAAGTCAAGTCCAAAAGGAGCCGCCTGCGTCCGCAGACTCACGCCGCACAGCACGTAGACGTGGACGTGTTCAGTCCACGTACGTCAGTCACACGACAGCCCGCCGAAAAAAAGTTACGGTCGGGCTGAAATTGTACGGTCGGTCGGGTGAGTCGAACCACACACCTTCTTTAGTTTGGCCCTATGATAATTTTGTGAACTCCACGACACTCTTCCTCTACTAGGCTCTAGTATGATGTCAAATACAATGGGATCCACAAACGCGGTGCCAGTGTACTAGTAGTAGTAGGAGGAGGATTTCTTGTATGCCGATGACAAGAAAAAGCTTCACAAGCTAATACATGTACTCGTATTCCATGAACCGTTTTGATGTGACAAACATGACACTGTGTCAGTGAAACTGCCTCGTGACAACAAATCATTGCATTTCCATCTCGGGTAAGACTGACTGACAGCAACGCTGTACAGATTGTTCAAATTATCTCATTTCAATTCAACGATCTTATTCCTCGTATTACTAATAGATTATTGTCCCCACCGTCACCTGTTCACAGGTCTTTGAGTGGATGGATTTTCATTGAGCATCACATTCGTTGAGAACTTGGTAGTTGTGTGCTCCCATGCATCATTACGGTAATAAGCGTATCCTTGTTTTATGTATTTGTTGCAGGTGTGCTGATCTTCAGAAGCTTGCGGAACTGAGTGCTGCTGAACATTTGCATGGCCATGAGCAATGGTGAAGCTTGCTATTGCAGTCTCAGCATGTGCTAGTATTATGCTGACTACTGCACTATGTTACTCTCTTACACTTCTACATGTACATGTATGTAAATGTGCGTGCATCCGCCCACGGCCACGTATGCATTCGTTTCGTATAATTATGTGTTATCCCTCTTGACTTTACGTGTAAATGGGTGGACGTTTGCATGGCTGTTGGAGTTGCGGGTGTATTGTGTCTCTACTCTTTTCTTGGTGTTTTCTTGGCGTTGTATAAGTTTGTGTGTGTGTGCGCACGCACAATAATTTGAAAACAAATAATTAATCCTTGGCTCTCCATTATTATCTTTCGATTCTTGTTTTTTTCTAGATATTTTCTTGGCGTTGTGTGGGTGTGTGCATGTGTGTGCGTGCACAATAATTTGGCAACACTACATGATTGAGATATTGTAATTTGCAGCGTCTGAGAAGAGACCACTTGATTTGAGGACGGTGTTTGTAGGGTTTTTCATGTAATGAAGTGGCTGCAGTGGCGCCTCAATACTTATTTTTTTATCTTGAGAAGTGAATGATGTAAAGGATTAAAGGGAGAGGCCGTTTTCTGGTTAATATTCACTGCTTACAGCAGATCCTATGTCTAATTTCGAACTCTGGATAGGGGATGCCTAATTGGCTGGACTTTATACAGGAAGTGTTGTCCACATAAAGACTCTTTATAGTTGATTTCAAAGTTTGGACTCGTACAGTTGATTTTGGACCAATTGACACTATATACGGGTGAAGCCAATTGGCTGGACTCTATACAGGGAGTGATGTTCATCTAAACTTTGAGCTCACAGTTGATTCCAAGTTTGGACTCTGTACAGTGGATTTTAGACCAATGGACTCTATATAGGGGCTGGACGCTCTACTGAGTCCAACATAATATGTTGGATTATATATTTATTATTTAAAGGATTTCCCAAAGGCATAGCCTATCGGGGGGATCTCCTAACAGTGAAAATGATCATTGATTTATATACTAGTGTAGCAATCAGTTTTGAGTACTTTCACTACAAGAGGTGCACACCAGAGAGTACTGGTAAATGAAGTACCAGCAAGAGTCCATAACACAAGAGTATGCAACTGTAATCTCTTTTCTATGGCCCAACCGCGCGGTGCGCTGCCTTCATTACATCATTCAGCTGCAGTCCGCGCCCTGCGGAAAATCAAGCACCGCACTTTTCCTCTGGTTTGAAATGAACTTTCGTACGGAACTGGAGTTCACGCGCCAGAATTTAAAGATCGCGTAGGTACTGGAACGAATCGAGCAAAAACAGATGGGCTCGTACGAGAAATTGTGAGTTTGAATGCATGCTTTGAGAGCGTGATGAAGACAAGTTACGTAATGAAGGCAGCGCGCCACGCACGTACGCACCCATAATCACAGTTGCATACTCTTGGGTTATGGACTCTTGGTACCAGGGAGTAGGTATTTTACTGCTGTAAATCAGCGAATTTTGGCCCGTGAGAAACTTTGGCCGATCTCGAAATGAAACCATTGGCCGTCATTAAACTTTGGCCGATTGTGGTTTTCAGAGAAGAAATCGATCGGTATTAATTTGTTGCTCTCACATGCTTCGATGGCTCAATTATAGTTTGCCTCAGTGACAAACTTTGGCCTACTACATGTATGTTCTTTGGCCGGTTGATACCGGGGTCAGAGTTGAGTGTGCAAAGCATGCATTTTAAAGTGCACACATCTTGGAATTGTGCGTACTCAGTAACTCCCCAAATGATCTCGAGATTTCTGCTTTGTGGATCTGATCTATCTTCCCCCCCCCCCCCCCCCCCCCCGCATGTAGCACCTGCATCTGATGACTAATCATGGGATGGTGTCGCTCCATCGAAGCGCAAGGGTGATTCTTGACCCTCCCTGCATAATACGTATTCATTTCATTTTTTACAGACACCATGTGACCCATCCATAGATGCGCGCCTTGAATGGAGCTGGAATCAACATCATAACACGTCCAACATGATGTGGTCCATAGACGTGGGGGGAGGAGGGGGGGGGGGGGGACTTGAGTTGGATCCAACATGGCCGACATCTCCAACATGGCCGACATCTCCAACATAATGTGGTCCATAGAAGGGGGGGGGGACTTACATTGGAGCCAACATGGCTGCCATGGCTGTCTGTATCGTCATGTGACCGATGTGAAATCACTCTATAGTTGTATGGATTGTTTCTATGGTGATGACATGCAGGTCGACAACCAAGGTCACGCACTGTATACACGGCGGAGCAGACGGCGTATCTCACTAAATGCTTTCAGGAACAAGACAATCCCGACAGCCAAGACATGTTGCAGATCGCCAAGGTTGCTGGTGTGCCGAAGAGGAACATACAGGTGCGTTGGCATTTAGCAGCGGGGTGGGATGATGTTCGACTGTGGCATGGAGAAGTACTGTCTCTCTCTTTCTTTCTCTCTACCTTCTTTATCTCCCTCTCTCTCTCCCTCTCTCTCTCTCTCTCTCTCTCTCTCTCTCTCTCTCTTTCTCTCTCTCTGTCTCTCTCTCTGTCTCTTTCTCTCTGTCTGTCTCTCTCTCTCTCTCTCTCTCTCTCTCTCTCTCTCTCTCTCTCTCTCTCTCTCTCTCTCTCTCTTTCTTTCTTTCTCTCTGTCTCTCTCTTCCTCTATCTCTGTCTCATGTAACTGTCCATTTCCCTATCTACATGTATCTCACACCACACCTGCGCTATTTTCTGTGATTTCTTTGTGTCAGATCTGGTTTCAAAACCAACGTGCAAGGAACAAGCGCACACCTACTACAGTGTCGACGACAGACGTTCAAGTGCTATCTCCTCAGTACCAAACAGCACGACCATTAGCTAGTGCAATCCAGGATCAGCTGACAACATCGCCAGCGACACATCACCCTGCAATGACGGCACAAGGTCAAGTGCTATCTCCTCAGTACGGAGCCGCACCACCAGTAGCTAGTCCGATGCTGCCTGGGCTAAGGGCATCACCCCCACCGCCGTCACAGCATTCCGCCATGACTCTGGACCTGCCACAGTACTGGACGGCACACGCAGTAGCCCCTACGATGCCACACCAGCTGAGTACAGTAATATCACCACCACCAGCACTGCATCCCGCCATGACTCCGGACCCAGGCCAGGCACGTCTAGCAAGCCCCATACTCAGCTCGCCTATGTCCAGTCCTGACTCCAGATTCATGCCTGGACTGGCACAGCGCAGTATGCCTAGATTGACAATGCTCCCGCAAGTCGCGTCCTCTCCTTACCCTGCTAGATTGCCTGACAGTGGAGGGATTTTGCCAGGGCAAGACTGCGCATCCACACACAGGCATGCAGCAACGACATTCATGGCCGCGCAACAGCACCAAGAGTTGCAACACCAGCAGTGTCATCTGCTGCAACAGCAACAGCAGCAACAACAAGAGTACAACCTGCGGCAACAGCATCAGCAGCAACAGCAGCTAGCCTTGATGCAGCCGCAGTTAACGCCAGCTTCGCAAGGACGAAGCCTAAGAGTATGTGCCAGCCATGATGGGAGTATGCCTTGGCCCTCTGTGGCGTCTACAGGTACTGCTCCCGTGTTCAAACCCAGCTCCAGTGGCACCGACAGGTATACCAGTAGTAGCTTACAGCGTTTTCCCTCTGACACATCACTGGCAGCTGGTGTTACTGCAGTACAAGCCGTCGCCACTAGCACTACACAATCTCTAACTAGCATGGACCCGCGTGTGAACCTCATGTCGCCGCCAGATGAAGAATCCCGTATATTATATCAGGCGCCATGAAACGCTCCATGGCATTTCCGCACAACCAACCCGCTTCGTAGCGCTAATTGCACTACTCACTAGTTTTTGAAATATTTATCCTCACCGTGTTACAAAGGGTGTTATTGTGTCAAATATTTATTCCCTCAATAAGTTTGTTGTTGTTGTTGTTGTTGTTGTTGTTGTTGTTGTTGTTGTTGTTGTTGTTGTTGTTGTTGTTGTTGTTGTTGTTGTTGTTGTTGTTGTTGTTGTTGTTGTTGTTGTTGTTGTTGTTGTTGTTGTTGTTGTTGTCGTTGTTGTTGTTGTTGTTGTTGTTGTTGTTGTTTCAAATCTTTATTCTCACGATAGCCAGTGGCCAATAAGAGTTGTTGTTGTTGTTGTTGTTGTTGTTGTTGTTGTTGTTGTTGTTGTTGTTGTTGTTGTTGTTGTTGTTGTTGTTGTTGTTGTTGTTGTTGTTGATTTCTTTTTTTGTTTATACTTCAAGTAGAACATTATAAGGACCAAGGAACTGCAAGTTTTTTATTTTCTATAAATTAAGCCTTGGCTCTCCATCCGAGTCCATTCTTTTTTGTTGTTCTTGTATTCTTTTATTTTACCTCTTTATGGGCACCGGCAATGCTGGCTTTTGATCGGAGGGAGAATCCTCCGATTCCTGCAAACACCGAAAATAGCAAGGGGGAATATCGACCTTCAGGGACATTTTGGTGAAAGCCAGATTTTACAGAATCGCATTGATATGGGCATGGACTCTTTGTAAACTTTCCTTTCAGTTGCATCTTCCTTTCTGCTCTGTTTTACTTCTCTTTTCGTTCGTCCCTCTTGATATTTGTACTTTGTACTGTTGAGGCAACAAACTGAAATAATAGAAACCAAACCAACCAAAACGAAATATTACAAATTGTATTTTCCATTATGGCCCATATTATAGGAGTATGTTCCGAAAAGGTTTTGTCCCCTCTGGAACATAGAACATGGCTAATGATTCAAATATCTAGTACAGTATACTAGTACCAGTATACGCAGAGCTCACTGACTTGTCAGTTTGAGCACTCTGGCAAGGTACGTTCGGGCCTGATTGGACAATTTTATTTTCATTGCTATCAGGTTCGGCCTCATTTCCTCTGCGCTGCGCTGATGAGTTCACAGAGAACGAAACAGCGCGCTTTGTCTGCGTAGACGCCGAGACCTTTGAGGTCGGCAGAGCAGCCTGGGCCCCGCCACCACTTCTCGCACATATTCGGGAATATAGTGGGTTTTCGTATAAAAAAAATAAAAAAACTGCATGCTGTCCGCAGATTGAGCAGTACAGTATACCATGTATTTCTTCGTCAAAAACGAAGTCAAGCCCGTGTGCTGGTCTGCTGGACTGCTGGTCGATCGAGCCAACTCATTACATGACAAGACGAGTCGGTGAAGAAGGAAGGAGAAAAGCAAGACACATCTGCAACATCTTTGTTTGATCAAAATGAGCTGAGCTGCTGATACGAAGCGTCGACCAAGCATCCCTGACTGGAGTGAATGCCCCAGCTGGCCTCTCGTTTGTCAGTGGTTGCCGATGGACCTGTTAGTATCACACTCACGACTACAAGTTTCCTGGTGTGCATCGACATCGGCATCAGTGGGGCCTCCCGCTGTCGATCCTGTTGACGGGCGGACAGGTCGGTGTGAATCCTGAACGGCAACCGAGCCTGTCGCGTTGGGGGATCTCGGCGGTGAGTCTCGCCTGGCCTGCATACATGGACATTGCAACATCATAATAATAAACAACATACATGTACTTTCCTTTGGCATCAGTATTCCGCGTAAGATTTTCGTCGCCTGTGTGGTGTGTTTCTCCACCAATGAGCGCGTCCTATGATTATTTATCGCTGTTCTCACACTTTACCATTTTAGCAGCTTGCATATGCCATTGATATATGTGGAAAGCGCGCACTTGCGCCATTTCTGGTGTATAAGAATGATCATTCCTCCATTATCATCATTATCATCCTCTACTGATGAGCTCCGACAGGGAGCGAAACAGCTGTCTAGAGGCGTGGAGCAATAATTATTATCTCTCAACGGAAGTGTCCTTGCTGGTGTCTGTATGGTTCGGCTGAAGAGCGCGTGGTTGTGATGAGTTGGGAATGCAATGAATTAAAATAAAAGGAACATTGAAAATATGAGATGATTGGTGAGGTGACTGCAGCCTCAGCTATTACACCCGCCTTCAGCACCTCGTAGAGAAGGAGCCATATCTCGAACGAATTACTGGCTCTGATGATGTTGAAATGGTGTGGAAAGCTTGGGATATGCACATGCAGAGTCTCATAGATAGATCCTCTTCATGGTACCTTCACCAACCCCGGAAGAAGAAAACAGTATGGTACACACCTGAGCTACACAAGTTAAAGGGGAGGCAAAACCGACTCTACAAAGCGTGCCTGCGGGATTCGCAATGCACTGTGGCGAAGTCAGCTTACTGCATAGCTCCAAACATCTACAAGAACAAGCTTAGGGAAGCCAGGAGAATTACTCTAGAGCAGGATGCTGCGAACATCTCCAGCAACTGTACACGAGGGAGTTTTGCTTGGTAGAAAAAGGCAAAGCAGTTCTGCAATCTTTCATCAGATGCCCCAAATGTACCCGATCTGACGAACCCAAGCGTCCCTAGCATCCAAGTATGAACAGCACTCCAGAAAGCAGACTTACATGCTCAGCATTTTGCCACACAGTGTACCGCACCACCATCAGCCAACAGGACCGCAGCAACTTTTGCTAACCCTGTAGCCCCGGGCCAACCATCAATCTGTTTTAAGTTACCCAGATTTAGCCCGGGAGAAGTTTATCATAACCTTGTCCATCTCTCGTCCCGGAAGGCGACTTCAGCCAACTATTTAGTCCCGATACTTAATTAAGAGCATGGCGGACTTACTGTGCGAGTCGCTTACACAAGAGTCTGTCAATGTCTTCCTTCCCATTAGCCTGGAAATCTGCTGCTGTAAACCCATGTATAAACGTAGAGGTAGTGCCCACCTACTAATTGTACCAACTATCGACCCATCTCCTTTCTTCACTCCATTAGCCGCATCTTTGAACATCGCATCACCTTATGTCTACATGCCAGTTCGCATACTGCCACTAACAAACTACTTCTCCTAACTCACCAGATGGCACGCGTCGCAGATAAAAACATAACGTGTGATTGTGTTTTCTTGGACTTCACCAAGGCGTTTGATAAAGTATACCACGCTAGCCTGATCAGCCATCTGAGCGATTCCATGGAACAGGAAGCCAGTCCCTGGTTTGAGAGCTACATGTATCTATGCAACAGAAGTCTATCAGTACGCCTAGAGGATGCAGTATCTGAACGCTGTGGAATTTTCATCTTCCCTTTTCTTATAAAATCGGCAAATTATGGAATTGCCTTCCACCCAAGATTACCCCAAGATTACCGCTATAGATTCTGTATCAGAATTTCGGACACAATTTCGCGCTCATTTTAAACAGCATATATTTGCCTGCACAAGTCGATTCACTAGTATATAAATCAAGGATCATTTTCACTGTTAGGAGATCCCCCCAATATGCTATACCTTTGGGAAATCCTTTAAATAATATATATAAACAATGATAACTTGGCGGAGAAAACATGATACAAGGTCGTCTCGGGGCAGCGAGAAGCCTGGATACATAACATGTGGAGATGAAGTGTCGGAGATTATTTTAAATTCTGTTTTAAAAGTCACAGGGAGTGATCACATTCCTCACTTGCTACCAGAGAGTTTTGCATGGACATGCACCTCTCTTCTCCTCTCAGCCTCTTACTTTACTTAGCGTTAGCGGAGCCTTCAGCACACATCACCACCACTGCCTTGCATTGCAATGCCACTCAGTCAAGGTCTTGTTAGTCTGTTGTTTTTGTCATTTCCTCCTTCTTTCTTGTTTTAAGAATTGGGCGCGTGGGACAAGGATTGGCCGAATGGCGAAAGTTTGAAGTCACCTCAGCATGCACTGTACTGTCAGGCGGATATATCCGCCCTATAGGCGTTATCGCAGCACGGCTGGACAAATTCCTTCCGCTCCCACAGTTAATTGGGAACTCGTGGCCTGGCACGAGGGTAACATGGATGCAGCTAATGGTAGTTTCGGTCTTTGACCACTTGGTGGTGGGTCTGATCTACTCACCTCCCACCGTTTAGGAGCTGCATCTGCGCCTTGATCCTAGAGGGTGGTGGCATTCCCACGGCGGATGCGGAAAACTCGGGCGACCCGCACAATCTCTAGCTTCTCGGCCAGACACAGGTTGCAGCGCTTCGAGATATATGGTGCGGCAATCTCTATTTCTATCTATCTATCTGCTTGCAAGTACCTAGAAAAAGTATCTATCTCACTCTCTCTTTCTGACTCAATCTCTTTATCTATCTATCCATCGCCCTATCTACGTGTATTTTATAATGGCATTTGCCTTTCTTTTCTGTGATTGTTGTGTGTCAGGTCTGGTTTCAAAACCGCCGGCGACAAGCAAGAATAACCCTTGAAAGGTTGACCCGCGCAGGAGCAGGCACTACAGTGATCCAGCTCAGGCACAGCTAGCAAGCCCAGTACTGAGCATGCCCACAAGTCCTGACTCCGGATTCATGCCAAGCCTGGCACAGCGCAGTATCCCAGGACTACCGCTGGTTCCGCCAGTCACATTGTCTTCTCACCCTGCTGGCTTGCCAGAGGGTGGAGGGAGTTTGCCAGGACAAGACTCCACCACATCGACACACCCACATGCCCACGCAACGACACTCATGACAGGGCAACAGCAGCAGCAACAGCTTCAAGAGCAGCAGCTGCAACAGCGAGCCGGGGTGCTAATGCAACGGCCGTGGCAGCTGCAACAGGAACATCTTCAACAGGAGCAGCTTCAACAGGAGCACCTGCAGTAGCAGTGGCAGCTACAACAGGAGCAGCTGCGATGGCAGCAAAATCTGCAGCAGTGGAAACAGCAAGCCTGAAAACCGCCACAGTTAAGAACAGCTTCGCAGGGAAGCAGCATGCCCAGCGGCTCCGATCCGAACTCTCATTGGCCCTCTGTGCCATCTACTAGTGCGAGTGGTGCCCCCTTGTTCATACCCAGATCCAGTGCAGAGGCGTCCGCACGTGGGGACGTGCGGGGCGTGCGAAACACCCTCAAGCCGAAAGGAAAGAGAAAGAAAACAAAGTAATGCACGCATGCACATGCGTCACTGACTGATTGACATTTCAATCAGTCAGTCACGCTAG